GGGATGGGATGTGTGTGTGCGTGTGTGTGTGTGTGTGTGTGTGTGCGCTTTCATCTGTGTGGACCTATGGCTGGCTGGCCAGCCTGATTTGCTGCTGCATGAATGCATGTATTGGCCCGTTTACGTAGCGTTGCCTGCTTGTTGACACATGCATACCTTCTTAAGGGGGTGATGCGATCGATGCTGCCCGTCGAATGCGATCTGTGTGTGGTGTGGTGTGGTGTGGTGTGGGTTAAGGGGCGGGGGTGCAGTCAGTGCGATAGATAGAAGAGGCTGGCAGGGGTACTTCGTACGTACGAACGACCGGGGCGAGTGCTTCCGGCACGCACCTACGCTTTATCTCTCTCTCTTGATTCACACACACACCAAGACAGACACACACACACAGACAGCCGGATGTGCCTGCCTGCCTGCCTGGCCAGCCCAGAAAGCCTCGCCCGCCTCACACACACACAACGCCCGCCCGTGTGGACTAGGCTAGGTAGGATGTGATTGATGTGTATGCAGTGAGTGAATGAGTAAGTAACTTTATGCGTAGCGTACGTACGTACTTGCACGATTGCCTCCCCGTCTGTCTGTCTGTCTTTCTGTCTTTCTGTCTACCTGTCTGTCTACCTGTCTGCATACCGCCCGAATGTCCTCCCCTGTCTGTCCGTCCGTCCGTCTCCCGTTTGTCCGTTCTGTGCTGGCTGGGATCGAATCGACCAAAGACACAGCCTGCCTGATGTGCTGATGTCTTGTGTGGCTTCGACCCTCGGCTGACCGACTAGTGCCCGCCTGCCTGCCTGTGTATGCCATTCCCCTCCGAGCTCGTCTGCTCTGCTCTGCCATCCATCCGTGTGCTCTCTCTTGCCTAATACATATGCACCTACATGGAGTAAATAGTTGTGTTCGTTCGTCCACGAGTCGGCCAGGCCAGCGCAGCTAGCCACCTGGCCACCGGGTCTTTGACCCCCCTCTGCTTTATCTATCTGTGCCACCCTCATCCATCCATCCATCCACTCACTTCTCTCAGCCTGGCGCGGCGCAGGTGCGGCGTCGCTTCTCATGATGCGATGGGCAAGCGGGCTCTGGTTGCGTAGCCTGTCGTCAAGTGGGGCCGGCGCGCCGATCGTGGCATGAGAAGCGACGCACACTGGCAGGCCAGCTGTGTGACTGCGAGTAAGCGAGTTGAGAAGGAGGAAGAGCATAGAGAGAGAGCTACAAGACAGACACCTTTGGCAATTGCAGCGGGTCTGTTGTAATTGCATGTGTGTGTCTGAGTGTGTGGTGTGGGTGTGCGCCGGCTGGTCCATGTCGGTGCTACGCAATTGATAGATACGACGAAGCGAGCGAGAGAGGCGGAGGGCTCAGCGAACGAGCCGATGAGACAGACGTGAGAGCATAGCCATTCATTGCGACGGCCGCCCCGCCCTGCACTGCACTCGAGAGCAGGGCGGGGCGGCCGTCCCTCTGCCCAGCCATCGTCATCATAAGGGTGGGTGTCGGTTTGTGAGGTATGAGTGGTATGTACTCTCTGGCTGGCTTGTCGCGCGGACGATCGATTGCTCGAATGACTGGGGGGCTGGCAGACAAGTGGCAGGTTGATACGGACCGACAAGCGCCGTGTTTTCTCACCGCATCCATGGCGTGTTCTTACTACATGCTGCACACACGTTGGGGTAAGGGGACCGGTGCGCATGGGCGGGGCGAGTGGTGTGGGTGGTGAGAGGGAGGAACCTTTGTGAAATGGACGCGTGGAGACAGACAATATGATATACACTCGTAATGAATCGCAATGGGTTCACATCAACAGGAATGGAATGCAGTGTCCATCCATCAGTCCATCCAAGTGGCTGGCTCATCAGAGAGGCAGGTTGGCTGAGTCGACAGAAGAAGACTTTCGACATGTGACGTGTTGTGTGCACCACACCATCACAAGCAGTGAGTGACCGACGCAATCGCGTACACACAACGGCACGGCACGGCACAGCCTACGCGGTTCCCATCGACACCACCCATCCACGAGATGCATCACACACGACACGACACCACGACACCACACGGGTATAAACCAAAATCGACACCAGAGAGCCATTCCGGTTCCACGCTGCACACATGACAGACACGGGAGCGAAGAGATGAAGGTTTAAGAGAAAAATGTCACGAGCAACATGGAGGCATGGAGGACCCCCAAGCACGGCACGACAGCGCACCCGGCGAGCGATATCCAACGACACACGGAGAGACGGTCGATCCACGAGAGGGAGGGAGGGAGAAAATTGAATTGCCGCGATTGCCGACCGACCGACATGGCGAAAACTCCCTTGCACTGATCACTGATCCCTGAGTTCATTCCACGCACACAGACGTGCCACCTCACGATCACGAACACTCACACACATGCAGGCAGGCATGTGATGCATCCACGACGGTGTGTCTCTCTCTCTGTGAATGATGTGAAAACACCCAGGCGTCCATGGATGGACACGCACACATACACGCACGAAAAATACTCACTCATCGGAGTATTATCTGGTCCAACCAACGAAACGGAACGAAACGAAACCAAGTCAGCGCAACGAACGCAATCAATCCAAAGCAATCAATGCAGTCAGTCAGCTGACGCCACGCCACGCCACGACACGCCAGCCAGACACGAGCACACCCCCACAGCACATACATCATGGTCGGTCGTTGGCGCACCCACTCGCCCACCAAGTCACCCGCACGTTGGCTCACTCACAAAAAATGCCAAAAAAACGTCACATTAAACCAGACCAGACCACACACACGACACGACGACACACAAGTCAGTCGGCTGGTGAGTGAATGGGATGGGGATTTGCAATCAACTTCACTGCAGTGTGTAGACTTACTGCACTGCACTGACAGGGTAGGGTCTTGGCGCATCAGTGTCGATCGATGCCGTCCGTGTCGCACTTTTCCGGCTCGCTCGGTGACCGATAGCCGGCCGGGCAGACACACGACAGACCGACACGGACGGCATGCGCCGAGGCAAGTGGACTGAGAGAGAGGGCGACCGAGCGGAGCGGTCAGTTAGTTAGTGGGCGGTGGGTGCGGTGCTCCCGCCCTCGCCAGCAGTGAGTGCTAGTCATCGGGCGTGCAGTGAGTGGCTGATCATCAGCGGGCATGACATGACATCACACACGAGTGAAAGGACGGACAGGCAGACACTCGACAGACGCGAGAAGGCAACAGCCCCGCAACCTGATCTTCACGAAGTGAAGGCAAGGCCATCGAAAGCATTGCCTACACTCCATCTTGGTCAGCTTGCTGGTCTTTGCCTTCACGCTCTCTCCGTCGGCGGAATCGACACCACATGCGAACAGAGCATACGGTCAGACGCACGAAGGATCACACACACAGTGTTATGGTATCTGGTGTGCATCACGTGTGTCGATCAATGTATGTATGTTGGCATCAAACGGATCCCTCTCAGGTCAGCCGAGCACAGCACAGACAGCATGCTAGGTTGACAACCGACCCACCACACACCACCACACACACAGACAGCACAACGATCCAAGAAAGGCGTGTGGTGACAGTGCGATCAGGACATACACACGCACATACACACAAGGTGCCATGCCATGATGTGACGTGGGCGAGCCCGGGACCAAAAAGCGCTCGAGCTCCCTCCGCATCCACAGAGGTGAGACGTGGGATAGAGACAGAGGGAGGCGCACGCAGACACACACACAGAGAGGTCAGGCAAGTGAGTACGAAGTGAGGAGAGGGAGGGAAGAAAGCTGCCCGTCTGTCTGTCTACTCATGAATGCGGCTGCGGGCTCGACTGGCACCCAACCCACCACGGGCCAGCTGCCCAGCCACCTCTATCGACATGACACCCATTGGAAGAATGGACGAACCAGCGACGATCCATTTCGTTCCATCAATCGACAAAACGACTGACTCACTCACTGACCGACCGACCAAGCAACCAAGCAAAAAAACAAAACGATCCAACCACTCCATCCATCCATCCACACCGTGCCAACGCCCACTCCCATCGGGATGGCATGGCCGGCACCAAGAGCACCACACACCACACCACACGACAGACACACGCCCTCTCTCTACACAGGCCCAACCAACATCTCGATCCCTCAGCTCACCCGCCACGCGCCTTGGGTGTGGTGTTGGCCTCGACAGTGCTCCTGATCGACTCGTCCTGCGAGATGAGGTACTCGTTGACGTTGGTCGCCGCCTGTCGGCCCTCGGTGATGGCCCACACCACAAGCGACTGGCCCCTCCGGCAGTCACCCGCCACGTACACCTTCTCGACGTTGGTGCGGAAGGCACCCGGCACGTCGCCGTACGGCGCCTTGTAGTTGCCGCGCGGGTCGAACTCCAGATTCAGCGCTTCGGCCACGAACTTCTCGGGACCCAGGAAACCGAGAGACAGGAACACCAGATCCGCCTCGAAGTACTGATGGATGGATGGATGGATGGCACACAGAAGGGAATGAGAGTGCGTTGTGTGTACCAGTTGTGGGCGTGTTGTGGTGTGGTAAGTGTGACGGTTAGTTACCTCTTCGCTGTTTGGGACTTCAGACATCTGCCACCTGCCGGTCTCCTCGTCGCGCTTCCACTCGACGCGCACGGTGCGGAGGCCGATGAGGTTGCCATCGTCGTCGCCCACGAACTCCTTGGTGTTGATCAGGAACTCGCGGGGGTCCTTGCCGAACTTGGTCGCCACCTCCTCGTGACCGTAGTCAACCTGACACACACACCGACAGACACGCAAAGCAGGGATGGATAGATGGATGGATGGTGTCAGTTGTGTGTGTGCCTACGCGGAAGACGGATGGCCACTGTGGCCAGGGGTTGGTGGGTGCGCGTGCAGGGGGCTGTCGTGGCATGAGCTCAAAGTTGACGACGGAGGTGGCCCCGTGTCTCATGGAGGTGCCGATGCAGTCGTTGCCGGTGTCTCCTCCGCCGATGACGATGACCCTCTTGCCCTTGGCGTTGATGTGCGTGCCGTCCCTGGACTTCTTCTCCCACTCGGGACCCACCTCGCCCTGGTCCACCAACGCCTTGGTGTTCTGGTGCAGGAACTCCATCGCAAAGTGCACACCCTGTCAGTCAGGACACACACACAGAGAGAGACCAGACATATTGCTAAGTATGCGTGTGTTGGTTTGATGCATGTGATGTGCCACCTCGATCTCATCTCACCTTGAGATCGCGGCCGGGGATCCTGAGGTCGCGTGCAGTGGTGGAGCCGGTGGCCAGCACGAGCGCGTCATATTCGTCGAGCAGCTGCTTGGGCGTGGGTGCGACCATGGACGCGTCGCCCGCCAGCCATGGGCTGCCGCCGATGTTGCCGGCCGGCCCGCAGATGTATCGCACGCCCTCCTTCTCCATCAGCTCCACCCGCCGCATCACCACATCGATCTTGTCGGCCTTCATGTTGGGCACGCCATACATCATCAGACCGCCCGGCCGGTCGGCACGCTCGAAGACCGTCACCGAGTGGCCCATCTTGTTGAGCTGGTCGGCAGCCGCCATGCCCGCCGGCCCCGAGCCGACGATGGCGATGTTCTTGCCGGTGCGGTGGGCAGGCGGCTTGGGGACCATCCAGCCCATCTCGAATCCCTTGTCGATGGTGGCGCACTCGATGTTTTTGATGGTGACGGGATTCTCGATGATGCCCAGCACACAGGCGCCCTCGCAGGGGGCGGGGCAGACGCGGCCAGTGAACTCGGGGAAGTTGTTGGTCTCCAGCAGCCGGTCCAGGGCCTCCTTCCAATTCTCCTCGTAGATCAGCTGGTTCCACTCGGGGATCAGGTTGCCTGGTGGACGACACACACACACACACACAGACACGAGACGGTGAGGGAGGGGGAGAGGTGTGATGGATGTGTCTGCTATGCTCGCTGACCAAGTGGGCATCCGCTGGTGGTCGACTGGCAGAATGGCACGCCGCAGTCCATGCACCGGGCTGCCTGTGTCTTGAGCTTCTTCTCGTCCGTCTTGTTGTAGATCTCCTTGAAGTCCGACAGCCGCCCGGCGCTCTCGCGGTAGCCCTGCACGCTCCTCTCGTACTCGATGAAGCCGCGGCGCTTGATGGGCTTGTCCACCACATAGGGGCGGTCAGGCTCCGCTGCTGCAGGGGCCTTCTTGACGGACTCCTCAATATCCTTGGCCACCTGCGTGTTGGCCTGGCTCGGCACCGCCTCACTTGTGGACTGCACCGCGAAGACACACACGCCATTGGTTCTCTCGCTTGTGTGTCCGTGTGAGAGTGTGTTGTGTGTGCGTGGATACACACCTGTGTGGACAGGGTGGCCTTCTGGGTGGCGGCAGCGGCCCTCTGCTTCTCGCGGACCTTGCGGAAGTCGGTAGGGTAGACTTTGACGAAGTGCGCCACCTCGGCGTCGTAGTTGTCGAGGATCCTGGCCGCCACCGACGAGCCCGTCTTCTCGCGGTGATCACACAGCATCTGCCGCACCTCATCGTGGTCAATGTCCTCCTGACCCACAGACTGAAGACAAGACATCAGACACGCATGAGGGCGTGATACCCTGCACGTGGGTGTGGGGGTGGGTTGGTGCGGCGGCTTACGAAGAGTTCGACCATCTCCATGTTGCACTTGACGGGGAACTTCTTGTCGGGGTCGTAGACATAAGCGACGCCGCCGCTCATGCCGGCGGCGAAGTTGATGCCCGTGGACCCCAAGATCATCACCCGGCCGCCAGTCATGTACTCGCACCCGTGGTCGCCCACACCCTCAACCACCGCCGACGCACCCGAGTTGCGCACGCAGAACCGCTCCGCTGCAATGCCGCGGAAGAAGGCCTTACCCCCCGTCGCACCATAGAGTGCCACCTGCACAGATACCACACACAGAGGACACATCACATCACATAGGAGGGCTTGTGTTGTGAGCACGGATGTGTGTATGGGTGTCGTCTGCTCACGTTGCCGATGACGATGTTGTTCTCCGGTGTGAACTTGGGGTCGGATGCCTTGGGAGGGTAGACCATGATCTGTCCGCCCGAGAGGCCCTTGCCGACGTAGTCGTTGGCGTCGCCCTCGACCTCGATGGTGATGCCGGTCATGAGGAAGGCGCCCACCGACTGGCCGGCGTTGCCATTCAGCTTGATGTGGATCGTGTCTTCCTTCAGGGCCGACGGGCCGAACTTCTTGCACAGGAAGTTGCTCAGCATCGTGCCCACCGACCGGTCCACGTTGGTCACATCCAACTCGATCTTGGTGGGCACTGAGGGGTCGGCGAACGTCGCGGCGCACATGTCGATCAGCCTGCGATCCATCACTGCGTCAAGGTTGTGGTTCTGACAGACACCCACAAACACACACCCACACACACACAGCCATCATCCCATGTGAGTGAATGGTGTTGCGCGCACCTGTGGATAGAGTTTGTGGTTCTCGATCTGGCCGATCTCGCCGGCGCCCTCCATCAGGTGTGCGGGCTCGATGACGGCCGACAGGTCGATGAACCGGCCCTGGCTGTGCAGGAAATCACGCAGCGCCGGACTCATGCGCAGGCAGTCCGCACGACCTGCATGGACCAACACAACACATCACATCACACGTAGCCATATGCACACACATGCTTCTCCCTTCTGTCTATGTGTCCGTGGCGTTGACTCACCGACGGCCTCGTCGAATGTCCTGAAGCCCAGCCTGGCGAGGATGGTGCGCGCTTCCTCAGCGACCAGCATGAGGTAGTTGACGACGTGCTCGGGCTTGCCCTCGAACTTCTTGCGCAGTTCGACGTCCTGTGTGGCGATGCCGACGGGGCATGTGTTGAGGTGACACTTGCGCATCATGATGCACCCCATGGCGATCAGCGGTGCCGTGGCCGTGCCCATCTCCTCGGCCCCCAGCAGCGCCGCCATGACCACGTCACGCCCGTTGCGGATGTTGCCATCCGTCTCGAGCGACACGCGCCCGCGGAGGCCGTTGAGGACGAGGGTCTGGTGGGTCTCGGCGATGCCCAGCTCCCACGGGAGGCCTGCGTGCTTGATGCCCGTCCACCTGGACGCACCGGTGCCGCCATCATAGCCCGACACGAGGATGTGGTCCGACTTGCCCTTGGCCACGCCGGCCGCCACCACGCCCACACCCGCCTCCGACACGAGCTTGACGGACACGTTGCCCGCCGAGTTGACGTTCTTGAGGTCGTAGATAAGCTGGGCCAGGTCCTCGATGGAGTAGATGTCGTGGTGGGGAGGGGGGGAGATCAGGCCCACGCCGGGGGTGGAGTGCCGTGTCTTGGCGATGTTGTCGAAGACCTTGTAGCCGGGCAGCTCGCCGCCCTCTCCCGGCTTGGCGCCCTGGGCCATCTTGATCTGCGTCTCGTCAGAGTTGGTCAGGTACTCGATGGTCACGCCGAAGCGGCCGGACGCCACCTGCTTGATGGACGAGCGCATTGAGTCGCCGTTGTCGAATGTGGTCTCCCATCTGAATGCGTCCTCGCCGCCCTCGCCCGTGTTGGACTTGCCGCCCAGCCGGTTCATGGCTACTGCCAGCGTCTCATGCGCCTCGGCAGAGATCGAGCCGTAGCTCATCGCACCTGGACACGCCACACAGACGGAGAAAGGCACGCTCAGTTCACCATCTCTCCCTCGATCCGTCCCCTCCCTCCCTCCCTCCCTCTCTCCCTCCCTCCCTCCCTCCCTCCCTGTGTGTGTGCATGTGTGTGTGTGTGCACTACACACCAGTCCTGAAACGCTTGACGATGTTGGCGGCCGGCTCGACCTCGGAGATGTCGATGGCCTGTCCGCCGAACTCCCAGGGCTCGCGGAACTCGAGCTGCCCCCTCAGAGTGCAGGCGCGGACCATGTTGTTGTGGACGGCCGAGAACTTCTGGTATGCGTTTCGCGAGTTGGACCTGGCGGCGTCCTGGATGTTGGCGATGACGTCGGGGTCGTTCAGGTGCTTCTCGGCCTCCCTGTTGGTGATGGGGTTGCGGTAGTGGTAGTCCCCCGTGTTGGGCAGAGACGCTATCTGCACCTTACGGATGTAGTTCGGGTACCCGCGGTCGTGGAAACGGATGTAGTCCGCCGCCAGCTTCTCGAAACCACACCCTTACACAGACAAACACACACACAGTGACACCGGTGCAATGGGCGGTGTATATGTGATGCGATGCAGTCACTGCCTCGCTCACCGGAGATGCGTGATGCGGTGTTCTTGAAGCACGTGTCGATGACCTCCTCGGCGAGTCCGACGGCCTCGAAGATCTGGGCGCCCTTGTACGAGTGGAGGGTGGAGACGCCGATCTTGGCCATGACCTTCAGGATGCCCTTGGCAATGGACTTTTTGTAGTTCTTGATCAGGTCGTAGTCGGACGACGGCGTCCCTGGCTTGAGCTTGCCCTCGTCACGCAGCTTCCAGACGGCCTGGTACGCCATGTAGGGGCACCAACCGTCAGCACCAAACCCGGCCAACACGCAGAAGTGGTGCACCTCGTAGCAGTCACCACTCTCGACAAACAAAGCGACCTGGCAGCCAGCAGCCGACCACACACACGACACGATGAGTGAGGGGGATGACGGTCGGTCACATGTGTGTGTTGTGTGTGGCCGACATACCTTGAGGCGGTCCTTCTCGTTGACAAGGTGGTGGTGCACCGCGCCACAGCAGAGGAGAGCGGGCATGTGGACTCGCTCGGGGCCCGTCTTGCGGTCCGAGAGGATCAGGATCTGGTACCCCTCCTTGATCGCCGCACTCGCCTCGCGGCAGATGCGCTCCAGGTGGTTCTGCAGACCAGAGATGCCCTCGGTCTTCTCATAAGTCGTGTCAATCACCTGCACGGACACACACAGAGAGAGGCACACCGATGCAGCAGCATCGTCTCTGACTCCCTCCCTCCCTCCCTGCCATCCATCCCGCCCTGAGTGCATCAACTGACCTTGGACTTCCATCCGTTGTAGTTGACGTTTTTGAGGACGTCCATCTCCTCCTCGTCGAGGGTGGGGTCGGGCAGCCACAGCCGGTGGGCGTGGTCAGGCTTGGACGGCGACAGCAGGTTGACCTCGGGGCCGACGAAGCACGACACCGACATGACCACGCTCTCGCGGATGGGGTCGAGGGGCGGGTTGGTCACCTGAGCGAACAGCTGGTGGAAGTAGTCGTACATGAAACGGGGGTTCTGCGACAGGCAGGCCAGCGGGGCGTCGTTGCCCATCGACCCGAGCGCCTCCACGCCGTCAGCGGCGCACGGCAGGATGAGCAGCTCCAGCGCCTCGGAGGTGAAGCCGAAAGCGCGGAGGTGGTCGATGGCGTCGCTGCGGGGGTGGCTCTCGGTCGTGTCCTTGACCTTGGGGTGACCGCGGATCCTGCACACACGTAGAAGATGAGATGAGGGTGGAGATGATTCATGATCATACGTGGTGGCTGTGGCTGTGTGTGTGATGATGTGTGGTCGGTTCCTCACTTGTCGATGGTGATTTGCTGCTCCTCGACCATGTCCGAGTAGGGCAGTGCCCTGGTGATCTTCCCCTTGAACTCGCCGTCATCGATGATGCGGTGCTCGTTGAAGTCGGCAACAAACATCTTGCCTGCGCACACACACATGCACACACAGAGAGCAGCGACACAGTAAGTGCTGGGTGAGTGGCGCATGAGTGAGTGTTCGTCCTTGCTGACCAGGCTGCAGTCGCCACTTCTTGATGACGGTGGATGGGTCGATAGGGAGGACGCCCGTCTCGCTGCCGCCGATGATGCGGTTGTCGTTGGTGACGTAGAAGCGGCACGGCCGCAGTCCGTTGCGGTCGAGTGTGGCGCCCACCACATCGCCGTCGGTGAAGGCCACCAGCGCAGGGCCGTCCCACGGCTCCATGACCGTCGACATGAACTTGTAGTAGTCCTGCAGCGCAGCACACAAAACACACAAGACAAGACACACAAGAGAGATCATGACAACGGCCTCATGGATGCCTGTGTGTGTGCGTGTGGTGACTGACCCTCTTTTCCTTCTCCATGACTTCCTCGTGGTTCTGCCAGGCCTCCGGCACCATCATGGTGAGTGCCTGGGGCAGCGTGCGCTTGCCGGCGAGCACCAGGAGCTCCACCACGTTGTCGAAGCGGCCCGAGTCGGACTGGTCGTACTCGACGATGGGGTAGCAGTCGTAGAGCTCCTTGCCCATGGCCTCGGAGCTCATGACGCCCTCGCGAGCACGCATCCAGTTCATGTTGCCGCGCACACTGTTGATCTCGCCGTTGTGGCACACGTAGCGGTAGGGGTGCGCGCGACTCCAGGCCGGGAACGTGTTGGTCGAAAAACGAGAGTGCACCAGCGACACGTACGCCTGGATGCATCACACAGACAGACAGACATGGCAGGCAGCACACGTGCATCCATGGGTGTGTGGCTGGGCAGTGGATGCCGTGCTGACCTACCTTGAAATCGGGATCGTTGAGGTCCTGGTAGTACTGGGGCACCTGGTGCGAGGTGAGCATGCCCTTGTAGACGATGACACGACACGAGAGCGAGCAGGGGTAGAACGGGATGCCGCGGTTGATGTCCAGCTCGTTCTGTGTCTTCTTGCGCAGGACGAAAAGGGCCGCCTCGAACTCCTGCTTGGTCAGGTCGCGCGTGGTGATGACGAAGGCCTGCTCGATGATGGGCTCGAACTTACGGGCGGTGGGGCCAGGCACGCTGTTGTCGCAGGGCGGCGTGCGCCAGCCGAGGAAGGCGATGCCCTTGTGCGCCAGCTCCTTGGTAGTGTCCTCGAACAGCTGCTTGGCCTCGGCACGCTGCTCGTCGTCGCGCGAGAGGAACACGTTGCCCACGGCATACTTGAAGGGCTCAAGATCCACGCCGAACTCGGCCTTGCCGACCTTGCGGAAAAAGTCGTGGGGCATGTCACACAAAATTCCTGCACAACGACGCCATCACACACACAGACAGTAGACAGAGAGTGGCGATGCCCTCAGTTGCGGTCGAGCGTGTATGTCTCTCTGTGAGTGCATGTGGCGAGTGACTCACCTGCCCCATCTCCGGTGTCCTCCTCGCATCCGCACGCCCCTCGGTGGTCCAGGTGTGTGAGGACATGCAGAGCGTCCCTCACGGTCTGGTGAGAGGGTGTCTTCTTGAGGTCGGCGACGAATCCCACACCGCACGCATCCTTCTCGAAGGCGGGGTCGTACAGACCCTGCTTGGGCGGCAGGTAGTCAAAACCAGTGGCATTCTCGAACGAACTCTCCGTCACAGGCATCTCAAGCGTGCTCCGAGATCTGTGCTCCGAAAATCCAACGAGGCGGTGCGGCGGGTGAGCAGTGGAGGGCGTTTGGGTGCGGAGAGGGATCCCTTCCTTTTTTGCCTAGGGCATAAATGGTGAAACTGTTTGAGCTAGCTCGCAGCAGACCCTCCGTTTACAAGCTACTGGAAAAGAGGCTTTGGCCGGGCAGTCCGGGCCATTTTCCACTCTATGAGGCGGTCAGTATCTTCGGGTCTTTGTTTGATGCAGAAGTAAGAGTCAGTGTTCAGCATGTCAGACGCAGAGTCACTCTTGGTTCTGCCGCACAGCCAGACGCCTGCACACACAGGTCACGCGCACACACACGCGCCATCAGTGCATGTACTCACCCTTTCCACCTGTCACTCACTGACTGACCGTTGTTTGGATCTGACGGCCGATTTCCGCTTAGTCACCGACGCACTCTCCTCTGCAGCATTCATCCATCCATCCATCCATCGATGTGTGTCTCTCCTTGAAAACTCACCGAATCTTGGCGTAGACGACAGTTCGGCCTCTGGCACACACAAGTCCATCCATCCATCCATGTGTGCTGCCCGTGTGGCTGTGTCCATCACCGAGGTGCGACGGCTGCGTGAGTGGGAGTGTCTTGACGTAGTCAGTCGGCCGTCTTGGTTGCGACCGGACCTGAAGGTGAAGCATCACACGTACACACGCACGAATGATGGTGAAGTGTACCCACCGAGATCCTCGAATCTGTGACAGACACACACAGACACACACAGACACACACAGAGATAGAGAGAGAGAGAGAGAGAGAGAGAGGTGCACTCGTGAGCTGTCCACCGATGGTTGGCTGTCTATCTCTCCGTCTGTCTGTCTGTCTGCCTGTCTGCCTGCCTGTCGGTCTGTCTGAATTCTGCCCTACCCTCATTCTCATCTGGAACACACAACAACACACACATGGAATGACGGTTGTGTGTGCATTGGCTTCAGCTTCACACGTGTCACGTACCGTCGTCAGCCGGGAGTATCTCGAGAGTGAGCTGATTGCCCTTCGTCACACCTGGCAAACTAATCACACACACACACACACACACAGAGAGAGAGAGAGAGAGAGAGAGAATGCATTCTGTGTGTGTGTGTGTGTGTGATTAGTGTGTATGGCTTACGCGTCTGTCTTGCTCATTCTGACAGGCTGTTGGTGCTGCTGTGCATCGGTGTGGACGGCACGGTTGACACCGCTAAGAGACCTCTCTACGCTGTACTGTGACCCGCCTCACTCAGTCGCGGGCTAGTCTAATGGTCGATGAGTGTTTCCACAAGTGATGCTCTCGGCCTCGCGGCCGCATCGTCCCACACCGTCTCGAACTGCACTCGCTCGCCAACCCGCAATACATACACACCTGCACAAAGCATCCATACGCAGGCACGGCAGCCTCAGGTGACTGACCTGTTCATTTGGTGGCTGACTCACTGACTGACTGACTGATTGACCTTTGTCCTCTCCCTCCTTCCACTCGAGCTTGCGCCGTGCCCGCCTCTTGCGACGGTCACTCGCAACCGATGCAGCTGAAGAAACCAGCACACAGACATGTAAGGCACTGAATGGGACGCCATGACTTGACATTATCCCCACCGGTTGCTGCAATATCGGTGTGGTGGACATAAATGTCAGGGCCGCCTCCCTCGGGCGCTGAACACAGCAGCACAGTCGACGCCACGCTGTCAGTCAGCTGGTGTGTCATCATCTCTGCTCACTCATCTCGTTTGACTCACCGATGAAGCCGTATCCCTTGGCCTTGAAGAACGTCCTCACGTGGCCAAACACCTTCCGCCTCTTGGGAGACAGCGAAGCCATGATCTCATCCTCGAGCGCCGCGAGGGAGGCGGGTGCATCTGTCCTCATGCATCCTGCCGGCGATGTCAACCATCGCGCAGCTGCGGCTGTGTAGCCACTCATGGGAAAGGCCACCTCACATCTGCTGGCGGTCAAGGCGGCTGCGGTCATACGCCTCATCCAAGCTGCGCCAGCACAAGATGGTAGGTGGAGCAGGGTTTAGGATGTAGGGTTTGGCCCGGGGGGCGAGAAATCCGAGACGGATGAGACGCTTACCCGCGACAATTTTTGCGACAATGTCTTCTCCGACGATATCTTTCCGCCATCGCTCCGGCTGTGGAGGCCGCGTTGCATCCACGCCATTTCGCAACGAGATGCTCCTTCGTGTGACGGCAGAATTCGAAGGAGTGCATCTGCACAGGTGTCCGTCGCTGTGCCGGTGCAGATGACGTCATTGGATGACATGGTGTTGGTAGAGTAGCACTGACTGGACCCGCACCGGCGGGCGGCGCTGTGTGTCAAGATGGGCCTCAAGGGCATCAAGAAGCAGACGGCCATGGATCCGACCAAGACGTCCAACAAGAAGTTCGCCTGGATGGTCTTCAGGAAAGTGGTCAGCTGGATGCATCCATGCAGTGAGGGCGGCAGGGAGGATGTCCTGCTGTCTGCGTGTGTTGGTTTAGTTGATGTCCTGGGCCAAGTCGAACACGAAGTATCTGGGGTACGTCAACAACCTGTACGGCCACATGGTGCACTGGTATCGGCTGAGGGCGGGCGGACATCCGGATGTGCTCGCGGCCCTCTGGCTCAACGGGGGTGCCGCACAGAAGGCTATCAAAGAAAGCACCACACAGGTGAATCACGCACGGACACCCCCCCCAATCGCCCAACTTGCCCACACACACACTTCTCCGCGTATTGTGTTTTTCAGGATCTGAAGGTGACCCGTCTCTCCACTCCCCACAACCACCACAACAACCAGCAGCCGCAGCAGCAGCAGGCGGCCAGCACAGCAGGTAGGCAGGAGAGACACATACGTGGCTCTTGTCATTGACACAAAGCGGTGCGTCTTGTCTCGCTCCGCTCAGGGAATTCATCTGGCGGGTCGTCGGCGGCCAAGGATCGGACCATTCGCTATGACACCCTCTCGCCTCTGGCCGCCACTCTGACCAACGTACGTACGCACATATTAATTGTATTGGATGGATGCTCCTTTGGATCAGCGTAGGAAAGATTTCCACTATTTTGGCGATGCTCGCAAGCCGGCAGAGAGGCAGCAGAAGGCAGAAGGCGTCGATATTCGTCTCTTGCACTCACCGACTGCCATGGCAGCAGCAGCTACGACCCGCTGTTGCGGCGGATGTACGACGTGCACCACATCGTCTCATCTGGGAGGTCAGTGCATGGCAGCAAGAGCAGCCGACCCGCAGTGCTCCACGCGGCACTGCATGGTTTGATTTGGCTTGTGTTGCGTGTGCAGTTTCTCCGCGGTAGCCAGGTATGACGGCCAGCCACCGGGCACCATATTGAGACAGTAAGACTGAAGACAGACGATCTTGCCTCTGTTCCTTCCTCTCATTGGCTGTCTGTCTATCTGTGTGTTGCGCGTATCCAGGCCGGAGAACCGATCGCCGTTTGGCTATGCGGCAGCGGCCGCAGCGGCGGCCCCAGTGGTCGACGCATCGCGTTCTGTTGCAGACGGCTTCCCATCGCCTTTGCGTCCTCCGTCATCTGACGGCTCGCCATCGCCCCGGACACATGCTCGCACACGCACGTCTGTCCGTTTTGGTGTTTGTGTTTGTGTGTGCAGCTCTGGATGACCGCGTGTGCGGCTTCGTCGGCCACGGTGGGCAACTCTCATCTCAACGGCCTTGTCATAGTCGGAGATGCGTTGAGAGTTGGTGCGTGCGTGGTTGCAGGCGCTGACGGGAACTTCCTTTAGCCGTGCGCATGCCTATCGCCGATTGTCCGCATTCTTCAAGCATACGTGCACGCAGTCAATCGTGTGGATTGGCCGTGTGCCTGTCTCGGTGTTTGGTGTACTGCAGGCCAGATGAAGGTGTTGGAGGGCTTCCTCGTGATGGACAACATCGGCAACCGGAGTATGGCCAACATGGGGAAGCTGCTGGCGTCAGTGGCCAAGTGGCAGCAGTGGACCAACAAGGCCATGAAAAGTCTCGTCAAGCAGAAAGGTGGGGACGGCAGACCGTACCTCCCCAAATGGCGACAAGACCACAGCCAAGAATGGCAGCAGCTCTTCGTGTCCAGCTGGATCAGGGAGCCAACGAAGACCAGATCAGTGGATGGATGCAATGCCATGTTCTGGTTGCGTTGATCGCAGACTCGCTGGTGCGGTGGAGCACGCTTGCCCGAGGCACGGCAGGGGCGCAGAACCTGTGGCATGCCGGCGACGCGAACTCAGAGATTGGTTCGTAATAATGCATGCACACTCACGCCCATGAATGCACCTCCCCCGTGTGTGTGCATGTGTGTGTGTGTGTGCGTGTGTGGGTTTGTGTGGGTTTGTGTGTGTCTGTGTGTGATGCAGACGTGTTGTCCCAGTTGAAGAAGCAGATGGCGGAGCTGACCGATCAGGACAGCTTGGCGGATTTCGCCAGAAGCGTCCTCATGCTCGCCGAGGACCAGGATGGCCTGCCTCAGTGGACTGAGCAGCTGCTCCAGTTCGCCTTCACCGAAGTCGTCATCCGAATGGAGGGTAACTGAAAGCATCGTTTGTTTGCATCCATCCATCCATCCATAGCTGGCGTTGCTTGTGTGGCTGTCTGCAGAAATCGAGGCCACCCGTTTCTTCAGTCAGTGGGCAATCGAGTCGCATCCAGACAGACACACAGACACACAGACAGACAGACAGACAGATGAGTGCGTCCCAATGTGTTCACATGCATGCGTTCATTAGGCGATGATAGCTCGCTGACCCTCACGAACGTCAGACGTCTGGAGGGACTGCCATACATCGCGTTCCACCGCATCATACGCCCGGGCGGTCAGCAATGATCAGAGTCACACACATACCTTCATCAATGCACCGCACCATGCCTCTCTCTGTGTGTGTGTGTGTGTGTTGCTGCAGATGCGTCTCTCTCGGTTGGTGACCAGTATGCTGTGCGCATGGGCTACCAATGGCCAGACGGCACGATGCTGTGGAGCGATCCGGTGTGGTCGAAGAAGGCCGAGAGACACCCGGTGCGTAGCATGACAGACACAGATTGGACGCACATACAAAGCATGCGGTCGTCCTTGACTGGCTGGCTGGCTGGCTGGCTGGGTGCAGTCGACTGGCATGGCCGAGGCGAGCTTCAACTCCCACCAACTCATCCTCATCTTCAATGCGTGAGTGGGCAAAATGGGACACTACACACAGTACAGACAGACAGACAGACAGACACGCACCTTTTCTCTTACGCACACAGTCCATCTCGCGTGGAGCTGCAAGTCGAGCTAAGAACGGGCGAGCTCATAGTCCTGGGGGTCGACGATTTGACTCAATTCGACGCTGACAGCAACTCTGAAGAGCCCTCACTCTCCGCCTCATCGGTGAATGGGGGGCCGACAGGCAAAGAAGCGGATATCCAAAGCGACGCAGCGTTTGTCGGAATGACTCTCGGATTCAGTGTTGGCGCGATTGTCCTTGATATCTACTGTTGGGGGTGTGTCATGTGGCAGTACCAGCGAGGAATCCTCTATTGGCACGGCCGATGGGCACAGATGATGGAAAAGTAGCGAGACAGCCTGAGACTTTTCCGGGCATCCTATAGATGGGTGCAATCGCTGCCTGCATTTTATACTTCGGGTGTCTGATGCTTGGATGGTTGATGACTCTATGAGATCCATTTGCAGTAATGCTCAGTTGCGAGCGGAGACACAAGGCGACATTCAGCATTCATCTGCGTTTGGTCTGTTTGTCCACTCATTCCATCCATCATAAGCATTTGTTGCACCCATTCTCTGCCGTTTGCTTCCACACAGAGACAGGCTCAGAGGAGGACGCTATCGCATCACCAGCCAACACTGCCGCCATGCAAGTCAGACCTGACGACAGGCGAGTGGGCATCGCAGCGCCCGGCCGCCAGGGCTACCCCTCACAGACGCAGCTGAACAATGCATTTGGCCAGGCCCACAACAAACGCACGGCAGCTCGCCGGACAGATCAACTAACTGATTGGCCATCCACACGTATTGCCATGCATTTCTGTACCGACACCATCGAATGGAAATGAAAGGAACCAACCATCAGTCAATGATTGACTCCATGTACCATCTCTCGAGTTCTTCACTCGTACGCCCCACGCAGTGTCCATCCCATCATACATGGAACCGAACGATGTCGAAACGCACTGATTTTGACCGACACGCACAGTGCTCCAGCAGCTTCACATCACAAAATCAGTGCGTGTCTGGACAAAATGGGTCCACACACATATAGCCCTTATCTCCCCGCCCCGTCCTTGTGCAGCTCCGCATGCAGCCAACGTATGTTGGCACGAGAAAAAGGCGCCACACTACTGAAGCGGTCATGTGAGAAGAATCGAGTGGTTCGTACAAGTCACGACAAATATGCACGTGCACTGATGTGCAGATGCGGTCCTTTCGACCACACAAGTAGACGTGAGAGGTTTTTACTCAGATGCGATGGGGGAAGAGCCTCGTGGCTGGCACCCGTGGTAGCCTCGGGCAGCTGCCTGACATTGTGACAGAGGAAAAAGGTACGTGACTTAGGGCCAGCCATGGCAAGGGACAGTGCAGACGCATGTGGCTTCTTACGACATGGTTTTGCTGGGCCTGCCAGTGCCGGGAAACACCAGCTCACGGTGCTGTGCCGAGCCGCCCATTTCATGGGCGGCCGTTGCGACAGATCTGCGTTTGTACGGTGTATGTAAATCCGTTAGTTCTTGTTGCACATTGTTACAATGTGTAGGGCGTCTCCTATCGCCCTCTCGATTATCCTGCTATGTCTGCACTCAGCATACAGCAGACTAGTGTCCAAGTACAGTGGCAGGAGTGCGAGTGCCGAGGACGAGGCCATCGATGCCAAGATCAGCTGGACGCTCTCATCACTCATCGGCATCCAGCCAGAAGGCGAGGGCGTACGCGCACCAGCCACCGTCCAGCGTCCCCCGTCACGGGCGGAACAGCGAACTGCTCGCGTCAACGCGAAGAAGGGGGCACAGGCTGACCGAGAGGGCATCGGCACCCCCAGAGGCTTCACCACCATCCGCGCTGATGACCTGGTGGTCGTTGATGTCGTCGCGAAGAGCAAGGACGATGCCCCTCGGCTTCTAGAGGAGCTGGAGCAGATGGGCATGGAGAACGGTGTGGCGTTCCAGAAGGTGGTGTCTGGGCGGCTGCCCGTGTCGGCCATCGACAGGCTGCCGTCGCTGCCGAGGCTCCACTATGCATCCCGCAGCTTTATCGTTCACCGAGGGGCATTCGACTCACTCGGCAGCGTCGATGTGGCTCGCGGACTGGCGACCAGTCAAGGGGATTTGGCACACCGTGTCGATGTGGTGAGGACCACACTCGGCCTGACTGGTCGCGGTCAGAAGATTGGACTCCTCTCTGACAGTGTGGACATGACCAGCCGCTTCTTTGGGTCGATGGCTAAGGATGTGGAGACTGGCGACCTGCCACCCAAAGGCATATTGGTGGTTCAGGATGGATCGCCAGGTGACATTGACGAAGGCAGAGGTGAGTGAATGGCCGGCTGAGGGCTGAACACCATAAGGAAAAGGGCGCGTGTTGCATTTGTCTTGTGCATGTGGTCTGTCTGTATGGGTGTGCGTCAGCGATGGCTCAGCTGGTACACGACTTGGCTCCACATGCGGACCTTTCCTTTGCCGCAGCGTTTATCGGGGCGGCGGTGTTTGCGAATAACATTCTTCGACTGGCGGAGTTCAACGACATCCTGGTTGACGATGTGAGAAACAACCATTGTGCCGCCCTGTGCATCTCCATAATGCTCTGCGTCCTTCATTTATTTTGCAACCAGATTTCATACTATGCCGAGCCTTTCTTTCAGGTACTGCCGTGTGTTTTGTGCACTGAATGCGTTGTGTGGATTTGTTTCTGCGGTTGCCTGGGTGGTGCAGGATGGAACTGTTGCGCAGGCCGCCCAGACAGCCAGTGAGAAGGGCGTATCATATATCTCGTCGACCGGCAAGTGAGACCGCAAATGGGGCCGCATCATTCAGCCGATGACACTTTCCTCCTCTGTGCCTTTAGCAATGGCATCAATGCCTACCAGGACAGCTTCAGAGACGCAGGCGTCCCGACGACAATAACAGGCCCAACGGGAGAAGTGGTCACCTACACTGCACATGACTTTGACGATTCTGAAGCTGTTGTCGACCACCAGGTATGGGGCAGCAGGAAGCCAGGCGGACATGACGCCTGCGGTCCACCGATGTTTCAGGTGATACATGTGCCGGTGTTCGAGTCGTTTGAAATCAGCTTGCAGTGGTCGGAGCCGTTTTTCTCGGCATCAGAGGGGCCAGCTGGGTCGCGTTCCGACATGGATATCATGCTATTTGACATGGCCAATAATCCGCTGAATCTCCTCCTCGGCTCCGGCGGCACCGACTTGAACATCGGCAGAGACGCCGTGGAGTTGTTATGGTTTACAAACGACGGAAATATCGATGTGGACGGCGTCCCTGGTCCTGACACCGCATTCAAACTCAAGATTCTGCTGTTTGAAGGGCCGGCTCCGGAGCTTATGCGGTACCTTTGGGTGCCCCTGGGTAACTCGTATCCACAGACGTTCTTCAATGGAGCACCGACTGTCTGCGGGCATAAAAACGTGCCGCTGTCTATCGCAGTAGCAGCTGCTTATGTTAGAAAAGTCCTACAAGTTTCACTCAGGTTTGATGTCGCATGTGTGTGCCTGTCATTCAGTATGCCGACACGCCTCGTTTCGGGGCAGTGGATCCGCCAGTGGCTGAGCCCTCCACAAGCCACGGACAAACACCGATTCTGTTTGACAAGGACGGCAATCCCACTTTCGAGATGAGAAAGAAGCCCGACATAACCGCTGCAGTAAGACGACTTGCGGTCGACGGCTATGCAGAAAGGCTGGGAATGCTCTGATGTCCTTTTGTATGTGCAGGATGGTACGCACACCACCTTTTTTGGGAGCTTTGTGGACAACTCTGGTGAGCAGCCCCCGATCCAACCGACATGACATTTCTAATATCAGCCTGTGAATCGTCGGTGTGATCGCAGGATTTCCCAACTTCTTTGGTACGTCTGCGTCGGCCCCGCACGTGGCGGCCGTCATAGCCCTCCTGAATGAATGGAAGGCCGGCATGACGCCCGAAGAAATCCGAGACGTCCTGTTCGAGACAGCCATTGACATGGATGATTACATCGACCTGAGCCAGCAGGGCCCAGGGGACTTCGACGTTGGCCATGACAACCAGACGGGACATGGGCTCATGGACGCATACGCTGCCGTCACGTCACTCGGTAGGCATGGAGGATGGAGCATCCCCTGCACCCGTCGCCATTCCCGTTTGTTCTCCGTCCTTATGTCAGCCAACATCCCTGTGTGTCTGACCGAGACTTCGGTGAAAGAAGTGGCCTGCGCCGCCGATAACGAGTCGCCTTGTAGAGGCACGCCGTCCGACGATGCACTGGGCGTCTCCGTGGAGGACGGCCAAGGCAGCTTGACAGCTGATGGCCGGGAAGGCAACGATTGCATTTCAGTCACCATCAACAGCGACAGCTCAGCACTCGATCTCATGCGAGTAGCCGGTGGCCGAGGCAGCGACTACATCGTTATCGACGGCAAAGTGCCCTTCATAGGGAAAGTGGAGGTCACTGGAGGATTGTTTACCGAAGACGATGATGCGCGAGACACCATCCTGCTTAAGATCGACGCTGGGAGGGACAACAAGGGAGTGGAGGTGACCGTCATTGCGTCGGAAAACTCCACCGCTGACATGATCCTCAACTTCGGTGTGACACGTGACGAGAAGTGTCGTGCTGATATGCTCAAGGTGAACAGCCGAGGTTCATCAACATTGAGTTACGACGACTTCAGGGGAGAGATCAGGGCGGGCGATAAGCTGGTGGGCATGATCTACCCACCGCTGCCGAAGGATGCACTCACCATTGACGGCAGTATTGTCACGCGAATATGCAGTGTAACTGGTGAGGCAAGCAGAGATAACAGATTGGCCCTGTATACACCTTTGGTGTGGTTTGTGTGCAGTGCCCCCGTTCCAACAACGGCCGGCTGTGGAACTGCCGCCAATTACAAGTCTGCTAGGCAAAGAGGAAGTCCCCTTCACCGGATTAAAACCGGGCACACGCGAGTTGCCTATACGTAAGCGAACAGCACTCCCCTCCCCTGCATGTCGGCAAGATGTATATGTCTCCCGCTCTTGTATCTGTGTGTGTGCAGCTGGGTGCCCGGCAAGCCTCCTAGATGAGACCAACAGCGCATTCGTTACCAATCTCATCCCCGATGGGCCACAGGCCATCTGCGGCACGAGGGTTGCCTTCAAATCGGCTCTTCTCGACAAGGCCCTTCCGGTTTTCGACCTCGCGAGGGATATCTGTAACGGTACCTCCTTAGCGCAAAGGCTGCTCTTCGCCCAGCTCGACAAACCAAGCTTCATCGGTGCGGAGTTTCACAACGAAGAGTCAATGGCTGCGACGTGGATACACGTCTTCCGTGGATGTGAGAGCGACCTTTTCTTCGAGCCATCTGTCCTGCGGGGAACGCTTCTGGACGGCCTCATAATTTTCATCGCTGAACCAGGTCTCTATGCCTTTCTTATCAACAACATGTGCGACAGTGATATTACGGCCGACGTGACGATCACGTGCCCGGAGCCCCCGCCACCGAATGACCCTGGCAATGTCACAGGGCCGATCAACGGGACGGATGAAGAGAAGCTGTTCCTCTTGGCCCATCGGGATGCACACAAGGGGGAAGGGAGATAGCTCGATGTGATGATGATATTGTGGTGTTTTGCGGTGTAATGCAGTGTGCACATTGACAATATCAATGTGCAAGTTAGTCATGCTACGTAGATGTACGTACGTATTTTTTTCCTTATTGTGCGTACTTACGTCCGTGCGCTTAGTTTCCCTCACATGCATAGAGAGGCAGCAACGATTCCCGCTTGAATGAGTCAATTGCATGGTTGGTTTGTGTCACTATCCTATATGGCTTACTTATGGATGTTGTTTGGATGAATGGAGTCAATCATTGACTGATGGTGTCATTTCCATTTGATCGTGTCGGTACAGAAATGCATGGCAGTCCGTGTGGATGGCCAATCAGTTAGTTGATCTGTCCGGCGAGCTGTCGTGCGTTTGTTGTAGGTATGGCCAAATGCATTGTTCAGCTGCGTCTGTGAGGGGTAGCTGCGTCTGTGTGGGGTAGCCCTGGCGGCCGGGCGCTGCGATGCCCACTCGCCTGTCGTCAGGTCTGACTTGCGTGGCGGCAGTGTTGGCCGGGGGCCGCCAACATACACACGCAAACACGACACCATCTGCACTCACACACGACATGCACGCATGTCTCTATCTGCCTGTCTGTGTTTCGGTCCCGTGCACAGCCAGGCGTAGGAGCGAAAGACCTCTGCCGACTGCAGACCGCCGTCGCTCCTGTGTCAGTGGAGCCACACACACAGGCAGATAAGGATGGCTGATAGTTTGGTGGTGACCATGTGAAGCCTCTGCTGCCTCGTGCGGCCGCTTCACGTCATCCTAACACACACACACACACACACACACACATGCATGCAGCGACTGACCAAGTGTTTGATGGTGTTTTCGGCCTCCTCAGCAGATGAGTAAGGACAAGCCAGAGGCCTCAACTCGCACCCGTACTGTGTTGACTGTCTTTTGGTTGTTCATGATCCGTTTCCTTCATTTCCCTCTCCAGCTGTCTTATGTGTCTGGTACTGTGTGTGCCTTGGTTTTCCTGCATTCGTGAGCCTCGCGCGGGAATCTCAGAGCATCAGCACACGAACAGTGTTGGTGCTTTTGGGTTGCCGGGCGGCGACAGAGATGGCCACAGACGGAAATGGACACACAAACACACGATAGAGACTAATGTGTCTCTTCTCTCTATGGTGGAGACAGAGGAAAGAGAGAGAGGAGAGGCGTCTGTTCTCTTTGGTGTGCATCGTGTGTCGGTGTGCTGACTCTGAGATCCTCGATGGTGGCCATCTGACACATTGAGTGTTCGTCCTCCCTCTCTGTGTGCGGTGGCCGTCGGCCGTCTCACAGACAGACACCACAGTGGCCGGGTGGATTGCGTGGATGGATTCCCTCTCTCTGTCCGGATCCCTCTGTGTGCTCCTGAGGAGTCGTATGGCGAGGTTAGAGTGGCAGCGTGTGGCTGTGTCCGTCGCTCTTTATTTGCCGGGCGGGGGAGGGAAGGCGATGGACGCACACCCCCACACGACCCATCAGCACTTCTGCTGTGAGCCACACAGCGATAACACACACATAAACCGCTGTGTGCGCGTCTCTGTCACTTTGCGTATGTTGTCACTCCACTGGTCTATCTCTCCTTGTTGTGTGACAGCCTGTCTCATTGTTGTGTGTGGATGGGAGAGAGAAAGACGCGAATATCGATTTGCCAGTGTGATTTTCCCGATTTGTGTGTCTCTTCTTCGCGGTATGGTTGATGACTCTATGAGCTTAATGCTTCTGGATCATTGCGAACGGAGACACAAGCCAACAGCATTCAGCATCATGCACCTGTTTGTGTTTGGTCTGTTTATCCATCCATCCATCCATCACATGCATCTGTTGCACCCATTTTGGTCGTCATCCTCCGTCCTTCATCCCTGCTCGTCGCCTGTATGAAGGCAAGAACAGCTTGTCGTGTCTCTGTTTGTGTTGTTGGTGGGTGTAAGTGACTGACTGTCGTTCATGAGGTCGTTCTGGATGTAGGACTGTGCGATCTGGCTCGCCTGCATGATGTGGCCGTCGCCCTCGTCGTTCTGACCACGCGACACCACACACAATATATGAGGGATGCATCCATGCATTCGGTTGTGACGTGCAATATACCTCCTTGGTGAGTGTGTCGAGTTCGTCGACCTTTTGTGAAAACTCGCTCAGCAATGCCTCACACCTGCACACAAGAGCATGTCTGTCCATGTCTCTCTGTCTGTGTGTCCTTCCTCTCCTTACGATGCGTGTGTGATCTGCGAGAGGTGCTCCATCATCGACGACACCCACTCGTTGAACTCGCGAAGCAGACTCTCTGACACACAAAGGAGACAGTCAATCAGCGAGACGTGTGTGCTTCCTCACTCACACCCACCAGCGTCCTCACGCAAACGTTCCTCACACACGCGCAAGTTGGACACAACCTGACACACGAAAAGCAGTGAATGCACCAGTGGACTTTGCGTCTGTCTCTCTGTTTGTGTCCTACCTGGTCTGAGCCATCGTGTGTAGCCTGCTCGTCCTCGGCGCCCTCGGTCTTGCGGCGCTTCGCGGACGAGTCGTCGCCCTCACCGCCGACCATTGTGACCAGACCAACAACCAGTGGGTGAATCAATGAGAGGCGCAACAGAGACAAATCGCTTCTGAGGTTTATGTGTTTTGGATCGAAGAAATATGTTCGTATGTACGCATGTGTACGTATGCCAAACGATCGATGCCTGCCGGCCACTGGCGACAGAAAAAGCTCAAGGAGGTCTCGCATATGTTATCACTGATGGTCGGCACGTCAGCCAGCCATGTCATGATCAGTCAGCCCTCAGCCCTCTGTACACCGCACCACCCATGAATCACTTATCGTTCGATATGTATGCAGTATGCAGTCAACCAGCTGGCACGGATCAAGGCGACGGATAAAAGAGGACGGACGCGTGGGCTCATGCAGGGACGCCACGCAGGTAGGGCACATGGGCACATGAGAGGGAGGGACACAAACATCAAGACACATAGCCATCCATCCATCCATCCATCCAATCACAGCGAGTGTTTCTTCTCCATATCTCGCATCTTCTTCCACATCATCAAAGCAAAAATACACACCTGAAGTGCACACACACAAAGCACATACACATCATCTCAACGAAAATTCTGTATGGCTCTGTCTTCCAGTGTGTGTGTGTGTGTGTGTAGGTGACCATTGCGACGGCGCCGACAACAGCATACGAGCTGAACATGGCTTGCGAGTTGATGGCCTCCTCAAGCGACGTATGTGTCGAAGCCAGCTGACGCACCTCATTCAGGCCCTGCTCGGATTGACTACCGCCGCGCTGCATCAGAGATATGGTCCTGCACTCATCCAACACACACACACAGTGATGGAGCGAATCACGCGTGTGTGTGGTGTGTGTGATGACGGACCTTTGCAGACCCTGCACGCTGGACGTCGCGCTCTGCACGTGCTTCGAAAAGAAGCTCCGGAGACCCAGAACCTGACGACACATCCGACCACCACCCATCTGACGTCACGTCCCCTGCCTCTCTCAGCTTCAATACCTCTTGTTTCATGTTGTGCAGGGTGTCGTTGCCGCTGGTGAGCTCCTTGTACACTCTGAACTCGGCGGCGATCTCGCGCACGTCCTGCGTCAGCATGTGGACCTCAGCTGTCAGACGGCTGCAGTGAGTGCCATGGACACAAGACATACTCACAGTGCGCTTGTGTAGCGGTTGGCCGTTCTGACGCACTTGAGTGTTTTGAAGATGGTTTGTTCCCTGGGTGCTGCCTCAGACGTGTGCTTGTACAGCATCCTGGTCAGCTCACGGATGATCGCCGTCTCGTCACTCTGGCAATACACACACACACACACACACGGCACACACACGTCACATGCAGATCCATGCCAATATCCCACGTGTGCCTATGCAGGTTGCATACGTCGTTCTCGAATTTGCTGTCCTTGAGCAGATGGTTGACATTCATATCGCCCAAAGCTGTTTGACCGATCACACAGCAGCCCGATACATGAGTGCGTATCACGTGAAGTCATTCCTGCACTCCCATCCAGCTCACTGTCATGGACGACGTTTGAGTCCTCCCCCGTCTGTGTCATGTCGAGATTGTACATGTGGAAGGAGAATAGTGTTACTCGATCGCCTTGGTGGTCAGGCACTTCCGGGCCTAAACGTCCAGACACGCAACAGACACCCCGTGCACGGACCACTCTCAGTGGAAAGATGAGATTGCCGTGGCCCACCGGTGAAAGAGGAGAATCCGATATAGCCTTGAGGCTGCACGCGGACGTTGTACAGCTGCAGGCAACACGAGACAAAACATGGACCGCACTCGACACATGAGTCTCTGTGAGTGCATTTACACACCCTGAATGCATCGATCCACGCGGCATTGGGACCCATGCGGACCTGACCAGTGCAAGGACACCGTGCACTATCCTGGCTTGCTGCTGGGTGGTGCCCACACGCACCTGCCCGAGTACACCCTTCGGTCCGGCCTTCAGCTTGAATCGAATGGTCTGCTGCGTGTTGCGATACTTAAGGAACAGCACATCTGACACACCGTCACCACAACGCACGTGCACACAGGCATGCTCTTCTGCATTTCGGCTGACTGACTGACCTCGTGTCGGCACGTCTCTCCCGAGGAGGTAGTAGCCCTCACCGACAGGATTGTGTGCAACGGAGACAGACGGATTCAGCTGCGAACACACACAGGCAGGGACAGGATGAGTGAGCCGCCTTGTGGATGACCAGCGGCGGTTCCCTCTTTCAAGTTACCTGGTTGGACTTGTCAAAGTTGCTGAAAAAGACCCCGACACCTTTGAAGTTTTGCTGCAGATACCCACAGCAGCCAGAGAGCGAGTGTGGCGCTCCCTTTCCACTGTTCTGTCTGTGTGCAGTCAGGCATTCACTTTGTATCCGTGAAGTGTCCACGACTTGGCCTCCTCGTCATTCTTCGGGTAGCTTTTCGCATACTCTTCATACACATACCTACACAAACACACCCAAAATACAGGCAGAGATGCTCGGCAGCTCGGGCCATCCTCCGGTCTATGCCCACCAGAAGGCAAATCCCTGGGACTGTGTCCTCTGCGGCCCATCGACGAGAAACTCAAACTCGACCTCAAAGTTCGCCGTCGTCACGGGCTGCTTGTGCCTGACAAGCCACACCACAGTCAGACCAGAACGTGCATTCATTCTCTGAATGAGCATCCAGTTCTCGTCGCGTGATGCTCACCAGAACTGGCCAGTCCTGTTGGCCACTCGGGGCACGAGCACCACAGAGCTCTTGGTCGGGATGGTCGCGCCGGAGAGATCCCACTCGCCCAGCGTGTTATCTGACAGCACACACACACACACCCAAGTCACAATGAAGCTGCGAACACCGTGAGTGCTCTACCAAATGACAGTGGCGCGTCCCACGAGTGCCTCATCATCTCGAAACGGCTGTCGTAGTGCTCCACGTGGTGATGCCGACTGCCCGCACTGCTGTCCTTCTTCATCTCCTCCCTCGAGTGGCTTCTGTACGATGCTTGGCCCTGTGGCTGTTGAGCGGCGTTGGCTGCGTACGGCTGCCCCGTCCATTGCGTGGCGTAAGGCTGTCCCCCTCCCGGCTGTCCTGCCGCACCGTATGGCGGCACTGCATTGATCTGACCAAGGGCGATGTGTAGGGTAAGCACGAAGGAGAGCACGGTTGCCGAGCGGCGGACATGCCTCAAGGAGGAAGAGGAGATGGACCGATGGCGATGGTGCTCAACTGCTGGCGGATCTGATCTTCTCCCGGATGTTGAGCTGCAGCGCACGCCTTGATGGGCCATCACGATCATCACCTGCCTGTCTGAGGAATGCGAGCTGTCATCCGCGAGCTGGCATCTGCGAGCTGACCCCCAGTCTTCCCCCCAGTCTTTTTCTGTCATGCATTTATTCATCCTCATTCTCGTCTCACTGGTCCACATCGATATCCCTCGATTGGCAGGTATCAACCAACAGAGACCGAACTCTTTTTGTCCGACATTCTGCTTCCCTGCCATTCCTGTCTTAGTTGCTCCCGCTCGACCAAATAATGAGACGCGTTTCGTTGCGATCGCAGGGCAGTATTGCACCGAATGGATGACTCCTCAACCGTGTGACGTAGATTGGATCATCCCCGGCGATTACAACCGTAGGGCACGAAGAGAAGAACGCAACCAACCAAGCTTTCTGTCATCCTACAATGTTCCTGTCGTTGACCTGCAGGGTTCAAGGACGATGGTGCCTCGATCATTCTGTCAGAGAGGAATGCTTCAAGCCCATGTAATCCTCCCACTCCGATCTCACCACCTCTGTGGCAAAACGGACCGGAATTCCCCTACATGAGCCAAACGATCCCCGGAAGTGATGAGCACCAAGAGTACGTACTCGGCGCCGATGAATTTTTTGTATATAATAAGCGTCTTCAACGCACTGGAGAATTCGATATCTGCTGGTATGCAAAAGAGAAAACTATCGCCAACGAATAACATGGAGATCTTTACATTCAGGTGCTCCCTGGACGAGACGTACGACGGGGATAAATGCGACCACGCTACTTCGGATCTTATCATAGATGAGTATACTACTCATGCGGGAATGTTGACGGTCAGAGGTGAGTGGTCATCAGTAGGCTCGTTATATGTGCCTTCAAATGACGACTCACAATGCAGGCCCCCATGCCGATGCAATTATCCGATGCTACGTCACACTGGACTGTCCGATCCCTATCAGCGGCTTTGGTGCGTGTGCCGAATAGGCAAGAGAAATAAAACATTGTGAGACACGCTCTTTGTGCTGACGCAGACTTGCATGAAAACGACACTCTCCGTGTCGCTGTGGAGCAATGCTCGATGGACCGCCTTGTCGATGTCAGTCCCCTTGGCTTATTCGATGCTGATGAGATAGATCTCAGTACGGCCAATCCAGGGGATAACGGCTCATTGGTGACGTACGAATTTGGCAGTAAGAAGCCTCGATTTGTCGGGGAATACTACCTTTGCTGGTTCGGTCACCCAGCTGATTCTATATTGGCGATCAACGGTATGCTTGACGTCTTCCTGTCTCCTTTTAGGTGTCCACGCCAGGAGTGCATTGGTGACCTTAAACCAGACGGCCCGTGCTGGCGCAAGATTGATGGGCCTTGTGACTATGAGGAAGACTATGCGCGGTTTGAGACTAGTGCGGGCATGCTGATCGTGAACGGTATGTGCACAGGGACTGAGCGATGAGGTGCTGTGCTTATTGTTTTCATCAATACAGGCCCCACTTATGGAAATTCCTCATGTGTTGCCGGCCATCAGTGCTCAATGAATGTCACAGGCATGGGTGAGAGCGATCTGTGAACGAAGAGAGAACAGTTTGTTTGCCTCATGTGTATGCTACTGCATGACAGGTTTGGCCGACGGAGACATGATTGTGGTCTCCGGCGATGATTGCAGTGTGAGTACGGGTGTTAAGGATTTGTTCACTGCCGATGACTTGTATGACAAGGCGACAGCATCGGGAGGCGGAGAGCTGTATGATTTCGGCAGGGCTCTCTACGCATCAAGCACAGCATTCTACCTGTGCTGGTGAGCTGCGTTTCTCGACTGTGCGTGTCTTCCTATTGACGAGCAATTGCCACGTGACTTGCTCTGTGTGTATGTATGTGTGTGAACGCAGGTGTCCACAAGAGTTTGGCTGTGACCCAGAGGCAGAGGGAGGTCTTGAGAATTTTACCATTCATGCGGGCAATCTCACCATCTCAGGCCCCGACAAGGCTGCAGCCATCACCTGTGTCATCGGAGTTGGCTGCACATTCAGTATTGCAGGCACAGGTGGAGACTCCACCCAATCGCGACACTCGAACACTGTCTCACTCCCCTCATGTTCCATGTCTCTGAGCAGGTCTTTCAGATGGAGACTCGATGCTGCTCTCTAACGATAGCTGTGCATCGCCAACGCGAACGTACTTCGATGAAGATAGCTCGGTCGACTCTGCCACAGCATCGGGTGGCAGCGGAGCGACATATCACTTTGGCATTGCGAAGAAAGTTGCCGACAGCCTTTCCCTGTGCTGGTACTCAAGTGATAGCACAGAAGGGGCTGGCATATAAATGTGCTGTGTGTGTGCATATGTCTGCAGGTGTCAAGGGTCGTGCGATGCAGAACACATTGTCTCGGCCGGCAGCCTGACAATCAGAGGTACGGAAGTCCTCACGGTACATACACACAGACATGCATGCTCCCGCATCGGTGTGCAGGACCCGATGGCAGCAATCAAATCAGCTGCCTTGTTGGCGAGGAATGTCCTATGACCATTACAGGAACAGGTACTGTGCAGCGAACTGGAGGTGCCCTTGTCAGTCTCTCTTTCCTATGTGTGACTGTGCCGCTTTGACAGACCTCAATGACTATGACGCCATCCTTGTCTCTTCTACAACTTGCACGAGCCCTGCGCTGGTCACGGGATTGTTTCGAGCCGATAAGCAGGACATCGGGACGCCCAAAGCCGGTGGCCCATCGGGGTCAAAAACATATGAGATTGGCGATAAAAGACCAACACGTGTAGGAGACTTCTTCCTCTGCTGGTCAGCTAATGGCAACACTGGCAGATGGCCTCGTACACAGACAACGAGACATCTAGGTGCGCGTGCAGGTGTGCGTCGCCAGACCAGTCGCAGTCGTGTTCTGCCGATTACCTGTCTGACTTCAATGTGACAGCTGGTACTTTGATTGTCGGTAAGCCGCAAAAATGAGACACATCAGCATCTTTGTGGATAGCGTATATCCATTTGACCATTTTCAGCCCCGGCGCCCTCCTCAAGTACCACTGAGCTCCCAAGTGAGACACACTCAAGTACCACCGAGATTCCAGGTCAGACACGTAGAGCCCCGAGGGATTGATCCATCCCTCTTGACGATCCGTCTCTTGTGTGGGTTGAGCAGCCCTTTCCGATGTATTAGATCAGAACGTGATCACTATCAGCTCGACCGACAATGACGATCCAGAGGACCCTGCTGTTGTGTGTCGAATGGTTTCGCCAACCAAAGTGTCGTGCCCAGACGCCGAGCATCCGAAGAGCATCACGCTGGAAGAGGGCAGCCCCATCACAGATGTGGAGGGGACAAAAAAAGACGACGTGCTGACGGGCAACACCGCCGCTAACGTGCTGACTGGTGGTGGAGGGAATGACAGGCTCGTCAGTGGCGGGGGAAATGACGGTAAGCAGTGGAGACCCACGGGAGCGAGATTGTACACGGCTGCATCTTGGCTGTCCTTTGCAGTGCTCATCGGCATGGACGGTGCTGACACATTGTGAGCTCGACAGGACAGTAGAACAGACAACGACACAATCACTTGTTGGCTGAGTCCTTGCGTGTGATCATTGATCAGTGTGGTGAGCAACGAGACGGGAGACGTGACGATCCCCTCCTTTGACACGGACACCGACCATGACGTGCTGGACCTGAGCGCCTACCCAGAGATCGACAGTATGGAGGCCCTTATACCGTTGGTGGAAAACGGCAGCGTCATTATTCGGATGACGCAGGACCGATCAGTCCACATCTCTGGCCTGACGGCGGCTGACCTGCAGCCTCAATTCTTCGCCCTATCGGCCGATGGGGGCGTCAAGAAGGAGAAGGACGACAGCGAGTGCGGCTGGTTTGCATTCTCGGACACATCCTGCGTCGAGACACGCGCCTCGATCGCCATCGTTGTGCTGCTGCCTTCGGTTCTGCTCGTGCTTGCGGCTGCTGTCTGCTTGTGTCTCTACCCCACGCGCAGAGAGCGGCTGATGCAGAAGTATCTTGCCCCGCGGCGCAAGCTCATCAACGAAGAGAAGGCAGTTGGAATCGTGCCGCATGATGTGACTGATGAGCGGGTCGGCAAAGCAGTGGAGACGCCTAATGCACCGGGGCCCATTCAAGATGACCACCCAGCTGAGCAGCCGCAGCCCCTTCAGCCGAAGTTCCTCCAGCCAGTGATGCAAGAGAATGAGGCGCCGGACGCCGTGACGCCGCCGGTCTTTCACGCCATTGGGCAGACAGCGCCGATACCTGCCGAGCTCGAGAAGGCAGCTGAGCTAGTGGTTGAACAAGAGAAACCGCCCCTCGAGCCAATCGTGGAGACAGCAGAGGCCGGCGAGCATTCCAAGCAGCTGGAGCAGCGTGTTAAAGTGGAAGAGATCAACGTGTCTCTTGGTGAAGACCTTGCTCGGCCTGCTCTCAACCGCGATTTGACAGAGACGGTGGGATTCAACCAAAGTCTTGCAATGGAAATGATAGAGGAGGGCACAGTGGATCAGATTGCGAGGGAGACAAGCCGTCGCGTGCAGTGCTGAAAGTGCTTTGATTCAAGGGTCTCATTATGGTGATCCTTAGTCCATAGATTTTGTTGTGTCAGTTAGTGGTTGTTGCATTTTGTGTTGTTCGGTTGGCGGCTGTCTGAAGCATGATGTGCTTTCTCAGCTCGTCACCTTTCACACCGTTTGCTGCATTTGTGCGGACAGTCACAGAAGGCAGCCACTAGGACTGTTTTGCCTAGACAGAGGCACGATATGCCCATCTCAGTTCATACAGTTCATGCATGTTGCGCCATACCGTACGTCGCAGAAAGGCAGGGATGAGACACTGTCAGGGAGCATACTTACAAGGACCATTGCATTGCTTGAGACTCTTGCGTTGCTTGGAAGATCGGTAGGTTTCGATTTCGAGACTTCTTCGGTCAGCAAGCTAGCCCCACAGCGCCCCCCAGTCTTTTTCAGCAAATGGCGCTCTCGTCGACGCAGAGGTCCAGCATGGGCGGCGGTAACGTCGCCCTGTCAGCCTACCTGGAGGACCATGTGGGGCGAATGCAGCAGGAAATCGAAGTTGTGACGCGGAAGCTCGAGATTGAGAAAAGGAGGTTGCATCTGCTGGAAGAGAACTATCGCAGGTGAGGGGGAGGCCCTCACACGTGTCTGCTTGCCTGACCGCTGCGGTTTGTTTAGGTCGAAGGACGAGTATGATGAGAAGCGCCTCAAGTACAACCTCCGGAGGGCTGCCGAGGAGGATGAAGTGCAGAGAGGGCGGAGCAAGGTCCGGCAGCTGGAAAACAGGCTCGAGAAGGCACTGGCCAAGCTCAACGGCCAGCTGGACTACAACCTGAAGCTGCGCAGCGCCATTGACCAGCAGCGAAGGGAGAGGGTTACCCTGGACGCGGTCGTCAAGAAGCTCAGCCGAGAGGTCACTAATGTCGGGGACCAGCTCAAAGACCTCTCTAACGAGGTGAAACGCTCAACCTGCAAGATGTCCCTCGGCAAATGAATGTGTGTGTGTCTGTGTGTAGATGGACGAGACCAAGAACACCCAGACAATGACGGCCGCTCGCATACATGAGCTTCGCAAGCTTCGTGACGAGGAGCGGGTGGACTTCAAGCACCAGTGCAACGACCTCCACGTCGAGATGCGGTCCACCGAGAGCAAGATGAAGGAGTGGGAGATACAGCAGCGCAAGACACATGCCGCACAGAATGCGCTGCTCCGTGGGCAGTCGACACAGCAGATGAGCGAGTCTACGCCGCGAAAAGGGGGGACTAAGAAGGATGAGAAGAAAGACGAGAAAGACAAGAAGTCGACAGGCCCTCCCCCCTCTCCACTGAACACCACTCGCTCGACATTCGTCGTAGCTGAAGAGGTACGGGAGGACTGCTCGCTTCCTTTAAGCGGAGAATCATTGAGTTTTTCGCTTCGTTGTGCAGGAAGAGGGGTTCAATCAGGAGGGTATGATGAAAGAAATCCTCAAAACCGCATTTCTCAACACCATCCAGAGACGACACATCAAGCAACACCAGAAGAACATCGAAGTAGGCTACAGACAGAGCCGATTACACCATGTCTCCCTCCCCGCTGCATGCCTTTCCCCCTTTCTACCGTGTGTCAGGTGTTTGAACAGGCATTCGAGACAATCAAGTCATCCACCGGCATCGCCGACATCGAAGAAATAGTCAAGGCAAGCACAACATCACGCCAGTCTACGCATCAGACGTACGGCAGGCCCCCTGTTCCTCTTTGTGTGCTGCAGATATTCATGAAGGTCGAGGAGCGCAACTTCAGCCTGCTGTCCTATGCCAACCAGCTCAATCGCGACATCGAGGCCATGGAACTGCGCACACGAGAGCTGGACACCCAGCTCAAAGACTCACAGGTTGGTCAGCAAACCACCAGGAACAGACACAGAGGAACACACCACTGCCTGTTTGTGTCTGTCTCTCTCCTCACCAATCAGGTGGCCGACGAGGAGGCCTTCAAGCGCAAGCGTCAGGCGCTGGAGGAGCTGGAGCTGCAGATCGCCAAGACCAAAGAGGCCGCCGACCAAAAGGACCTCGAGAACGAGAAGCAGCACGGCATCACACTCGCATGCAAACCCATCGTCGAAAAGCTGACCAAAGTGGTCAGTGGTTTCCTCGACATGAGGGGAATGTCCCTGCCTTACATATTTCGCGTGCTGTGACTTTGCCTCTCGATCAGGTCCAAGAGGCCTGGGGCGATCCTTTGGGGCCGCCCGAGATGGATGGAGACAACTTCTTGCCCCTTCTGTACTACATCGAAAGGTCGGTGGTCACGATCGGGCTTTATAAAGCAAAATTCGTCTCCATATGTCCCCAGATTCGTCGCAGCGCACAAAGACTACCTGCCCGGTGCTGAGACTATATCTGTGCTGAACGAGACGGGAGTGGCGGCAACCGGACTGGAGGCACTCTCTGTATCAGGTGCTCAGCGGTAAGTACACGAGACAACAAAGATCGCACGTCAATGCCACTGGCACACGAACCACCCTTGTGCAATTAATTTTCAGGGGCTCTGTTGTGAGCCCGCCTCTCACTGGCGCCCGCCGTGTGGACAAAGTCCCCTCCCCCGGCTCGGCTGGCGGGGCCATTCAACTGAGACCTGGCGATCTGCCGTCCTCCAACCTGCAGGTGGGGAGAGAATGAAAGCATGAGACGACTACGGCACACCAGGCCGCCTAGCTGCATGGACTTCTTGTGTCTCAGGGAGAGGATGATTCTGACGAGGAGGATTTGGCCGACAGACCACTCACCAATCAGTAACACAAAGCGGGACGAAGCACTCATTGCAGGCATATCTATCGAGCGAGCATTGGTTGGTGCGTTTGACACACAGGGAGCTGAAGGAGCGGTCTCTGCAGGCCATTGCCAAGAAGAAGAAATCACGAGGGAGAGCGGGCAACCAGGACGCACCCACATGGTCTCCAGGGTAGGAAACCCGCCTTTTTGTCTCCATGTCCCTGCTTGCATCACCTATGTGTGTGTATACAGTGCCGGTGTGTCGCTTGGCGAGTATCCGTCGGGTGCTCTGGCGGGTGACAGAGGTGTCACCAGCCCATTCAGATCCGCAGACGGCGGTATTGATCTACAAGACGAGACACGAACTTTCCTTTGTGCACCTTGTGATTTGTTCTTTCCTCTTAGAGCGCGTTGAGGACATGAGATCCCTCTCACCCGAGGAGGTTGAAGCAGAGTCAGAGCAGCTGCACCAGCTCATGAGCAAGGTAGGTGCCAGAGGACGTATGACGCATGGATCGATCCCCCTTCGTGCATGTCTCTCTCCACCCAGACCATGAAGGAGCTCGACAAAGTGCTCGACGTCATGCCCGTCTCGAGTGTCCTGCCGTCCGTCGCCCCCACTGGCGAAGCCAAGGATGACGAAGAGCAGTCGCCCGGCAGCAAGGTTCTCTCATCCATCAAGGCCAGACAGATGGAGAAGAAGGAGGCCGAGGAGCGGCTCAGGCAGGCCGCGCTGGCCGAGCAGGAGGAAGACGACAGCCCCATTGCGTGGGGCAAGGCCAAAGCGAAGAGGGGTGGCAAGAAGAACGCCTCCAGGGGTTTCTCGTCGAGTGACCAGGAGGGTCAGGAGCAGGAAGGCCCTGCAATGTCCACGATATATTCCGAGCCGCAAGAGGATGAAGAGGGGGCAGCTGCCGCTGCAGCTGAGGAGGCCAACCTGACTGCTGAAGGTGGGGATGAGGGGGGCAAGGAGGGGGAGCCTGACGCTGCTGGAGTGGGGGAAGAGGAGTCGGGTTAGGAAGGGGTGATAGGCCATTTCCTCTGCCTGCCTGCCTGCCTGCCTGTTTGCGTGCTGTGCTTGTTCCGATTGTTCCTTGTGGGATGGGTGCAAGATGCATCCGTTCGTTTCTTTCAAGACCATTGGAATGGCAAAGCTTTGAAGGTCAATGATCGTCATGATCGTCCCACTCACTCAGGCCTCACTAAAAGACACCCATTCAGCGTTTCTTGTACTTACAGTGCCCTAGAAGAGAAGCGTCCACGCCCTGTGACTCACTCACCCCCACCACTTTCCTCTTTTTGCTGACCCTACTACTGCCCCTCTCTGCTGCTGACTCGCCAGCAGCTGCCACATCATCAGGAACACTCCTTTTCTTGCCAATCAGCCTCTGCATTATCCTGAGTCGCTTGTCCTCATGGCCGTCAGTGCTCTCACTCCGCTGCTGCTGGTGTTGTTTTCTCTTTTTCTTGCTCTTGGTGGCCGACTGCTGACCCTTGGCGGAGTGTTGGGGAAGTCGCCTGTCTGTCGACGCTTTGCGGAAAGCCAGCAGGATGAAGAAGGAATTCAGCACCTCCTGCAGACAGACACGCAAAACAAGTCAGGCAATTGTCACTGTGCATCATCTCTTCGCTGTTGGCGCACCCACCCACCCTGTGTGTGCATCTGAATCCGATGGTCTCGATGCTCTCGACAAATTTGTCCACATCTTGGAAACGAGAGAGCACTTCAGCGATGCGCAAGACACCCCTGGTAGGCACACCCACCGACACAGACGAACGGCAGCATGCTCATCGCTCAAGGTCTTTCGGTGCTTTGCTTTCCCTCACTTGTCTTTGAGGCAGCGGTAGGCCTCTCTGATGAACGACGGCCAGTCGGAGCCCATCAGACTCAGGCAGAAAATCGCAACATCCAGGGAGCCGTCAGCGAGAGGCACGTGGGCGATGTTGCAGGCAGTAATGTGTGGGTTGGCCGCCACGAGATCAAACGAATGGATGGATCTGCCAGCATACAGGGGACAGATCAATGCACGTGATGGATGCTCCTCTCTTGCCATGCACCTGCCTGTCCGGAAAGGTTTGTGCGATCTTCGCCTCTCCGCAGCCGAAATCACCCACACTGATCAGGCCACACGCACACACACACACACACACACACATCGAGCACACAACGAGTGGTCACTCGCCGCTTTCCCTGTGCCTCACGTGTAATGTGCGGGGAGTTTGCGAACGTATTCCATCATCTTGTCGAGGGGATTGATTGGCCACTGGAGCACCTGCCGACGATAGCCATCGTGATACTGACACACATAATGAATGAGCGGACGCCGCAAACACAATGAGTCAATGAATGAATTGCCGTCGCATCTCTCATCGAAAGCACCTTGTCGAAGAGCGATGGATCTTGCTGGAACGCCATGAAGCTCTCGGCCGACGAGTCTGTGTAGAGCTTCTCATTCAGGTGGCGGAACCTGCCTCCCTTGAGCCGTTCTTGCGCCTGTCGCTGGAAGGATGACAGCGGGTTGCCCTTTGACTCATGATCTTTGTGTGATCTCCCGCCAGCTGCTGCGGCGCCTCTTCCTCGGCCTCGTCGAAAATTGAGCATTGAAGGAGAGAGCGACTCGCGCCTTGCTTCTTTCTTCTCTTTCCCTCCTTGCCTCCCTTCCTCCTTGCTCTTGCGAGCTTTCGGTCGAACGTGAGATCTCCAAGATCTCCTGCCCATCAGCTCCTGACCTGTTCCCGGAGATAAGTCCAAGGCCGAGGAATGTTTGCTTGCAGATCTCATGAACGCACCGGCATTCATCGTCCTGATCGTCTTATTGGTGGTGTTTGCAAGGGCTCAAGAACAGGGCCAATGTGGACCTTGCCGCTGCTCTGCGGAGATGGCAGCTGCCTTTTTTATCGTCGGGCGGTTGCTTGGGCGAAGGGATTCATCCTCATCTGCTCCTCGTGCTTCTCTTTCGCCTTGTCACAACAATGCGAGTGACACAGATGAGGGCATGGACGACTTCCACTCATCAGCCTTGGCGCCCCATCGCCGGTCGGCAGCATCGCGTCAGCTGCAGACCACTGGAGCTACCGACGGGTTGACGAGAGATGTGGCTGATGACGTATTGGCCAACTCAACCATGCTGCACGCTTACAGCGACTGGTTCAAGCCGTCAGCCAAATACCGCAATCCCCCACCTACGGTTGACAAGGGCGCTTCTGCCTATGTGCTGAAACTGCGGCTGCTTCAGAAGTATCTGCCATTCGGTGAGGACCGCGTCATGCCCGGCACATCTATGCGTGCCCTTGTGGGATCTCATGGTGCCAATGAAACCGCCATGACAGAGCCGGTGATTCATGAGGACTGCACTGTGTGTGAGGAGGACGCCAGGGGGCCGCTGAGGCAATTCATTCGGTCACTGGATGTGGAGATGAGAGGCGTCAAAATGGGGTCCTTCTTCCGCGTGTGCGATCTGCCCTTCATCGTCTGTGTCCGTTTCCGGACGGCTCGTGCGGCGTTGCCAACGACCGATGAGGTCGAGTCATGGGCCGGAGGGGGCGATGGGATGGTGGACGGCTACATCATGGTTCTGGACCCCGACCATGAAGCTCAGCTGATCTTTCCGGATGGGGGCGTTCGGTTCCCTACATCTTTTTACGATCTCAGGGGGCTGCTGGGCGTGGTCTTGATGAATGCGCCGTTCAACGGCAGTCTGTCCGAGAGGATCGGCGAGATGTTGCAGTTAAGACTGCTGTACGTCGACCGGGTCAGAGGAGAGGACAGGGGCAGGGCACACACGACCTGAAGTTGTGTGTGTTCCCTGCCGTCTTTGTGTGGCCTGTAACTGTTGACAGCTGGCTGTTATGTTGCAGAGTCAACTGAGTGGCCCACTGCCCGACGCCATCGTCTCTTTGCCGGACCTACGCGGCCTCTATGTAGACGACACCCACTTAGAGGGCACCCTACCACCATCCTTCCACACGATGTTCGACAGATCACTCGAGGCCCTCTCCCTCATCCGCAACCCACTGGGCTTCGATATGCACTCACTCTTTCACGGCCAAGAGGCCAACTCGTCTGCGCCCGCCCCTCCCCATCAATGCACCACTTTGAGGATAGCGAGGCTGCTGGGTGAGAGCATCACGGGATCGCTTGAGGGTGCTTTCGATGGATGTGAGTCCCTGGAGCTGTTCCACATGAGGAATACGGCCATTATTGGCGGGCTGCCGGCTCTCGAGGACATGCATAACCTCCATACATTTCGGCTAGAGAACTGTGAGAATGTCACGGGCACCATTCCAGCCGTCTACGGCAACGTCACATCTCTGCGAGACTTCAGAATCATCAAGAGCAGGGTCAGCCAGGCGCTTTAGGCAGGCACATACACGCATTTGTCGGCTGAGTGTATCCTGTATCTATTGTGTGTCCATCGCTGGTGCGTGTCCGATGCAGGGTATTCGGGGTGCGATTCCCGACTCGATCAACAACCTCACAGACCTCCGAATCCTCTCCATCTCCATCACAAGGTCAGCAAAGACATAGAGAGATTGCACGACCCCCACTGCACTTGTGTGCCGTGTTGGTGCCTTCTCAGAGTGAACAAGCTGCCTGCCACACTCGAAGGCCTTCAGCGTCTGTGGGATTTGGACCTCTCACGAAACCGCCTATCTGGCGTGATCCCTGCGTGGCTGTCAAGAATGCGTGGGCTGAGGAGCATGCGGCTCGATAACAACGGATTCGAGGACTTCGAAGGCGACTGGCGGATGCCACCCAAGTATGGGAGAGAGATCAGTCGACACTTCTACTCCACGAGAGTTCTTTGCGATGTGTCTGTGGTGGTGCATGCTTGCAGGTTGGAGTGGCTGCATGTGTCCAAGAACAGTTTGAGTCGCATACCGCCAAACTGGAGACGGCTGGAAACGAGTACGTCGGTCACTCACCTCAGCACATACTGGGTTTTGTGTGTGCACTTGACTGTTCTCTGGCCTCCTGCCTGCTGTCTGTCTTTGTGTGTATGTGCAGTCAAGACTCTATTTTTGTCGGATAACCGCATCGGTGATCAGCTGACGTGGGGAAGGCACTCCCTCGGTCTACGCACCATTACAAGTAAGTAAGCAAGAAAGGAAGGTGGAAGGACGATCAATCGCTCGCAAGGCAGCCACAATCCATCGCTCTCTGGTGTCATGTGGTTCGGACAGGCCCGAGCGCCCACATCGTCGCTGAGATCCTCGCGAACCCGCCCCCCTACTGGCCGAGCATCGAGACACTGACCATCAGCAGGAACGGCTTGAACACCACCATTGACGAGTTCCTCATGCCATGGTCGTTTCAGAGCAGCCTTGTGGCCCTCTACAGCCTACAAAACGGCCTACACGGCGCCCTCACGCCGTCGGGGGTGACCGTCATTGACCTTGAACATGTCTTGAGCGCAGGACTCCTCGACAGACCCGCATTTCAGCGGTACAAGAGGTCGTTCATGGCGGCTTACCGGCTGCAGGAGAACGCCACGAGCATGAGCATGGTGGATCCGAAGGCGAGTGATGAGCCTGTGGAGGTGGACGACTTTGTGGACGATGGGTCGGTGGTCGACGTAGAGAAGCTGGACTATTCGGTGACAGTTGCTGACCTGTACCCCGACATTAACCTGAGGGCGCAGAAGGGATTCGAGAAACTCGCATGGTTTGGTGTCAACTACAATGAGATTGAAGAGATTCGCGATGGATGGTATATGCATGTACCAACCAGTGATCAGACATACGTCGACTTGTGCATGTCTGTGTGTCCTGCTTTTCGTCAGGTACTCTCTCCCCAACAATCTGCAGCGATTGCATATCGCCGGCAACCGCCTTCGCAGGATGATCAGGCACACCGAGCCCCCGGAATACCTGTGGTATACTCGACACAACTGGAAGCTGTTGGGGCGCGCCAACCTGCAGAAAAACCCAGACCTCAGAATCAAGGACGTGAGGCAAAGTCGGATAGCGAGCGGCATCCAGACAGTCCGTGTGCAGCCAAGGATGTATCTTCCTGTGCAGATCAGACCCCACGAGGGTCGACCGTGCTCGGGTGGCAGCACTGAGGACCTCTACGCCGACTTATACGGTCAGTGTGTGAGCATGTGACCGACGAAAGACCAAGGGCCTCTGCATGTGACACGCAGGAACGGTCCTCTTGTCCCTTCTTCTTTCCTTCAGGGTACGGGCCCCTGAACGGGACGGACGGCGTCGAGTGCACGCGGCTCTGCCACGACTCGCAGATTTTGAAGGTGAAACAAAAAAGGAGGGGTGGAGATGGTTGACCTACACTTGCCGTCTCTCTGTCTGCCTGCCTGTATGGGTCAGGTAGATAACACGGTCAACGAAGAGGTATTGTGTCGCTGCCTACCTGGCTATGCGGGCCACGGCCTCAACTGCACTAAGTGCCCGGCAGGCTCATTTAGCAACAGAGAAGTTGGCACACAAATGTGCAAACAATGCCCCGACGATGCAGGTCAGAGATGTAACAAACACATGATGATGCGCACGAACGCCTGTTTTGTTTTGCAGGTTCTGACGAGGGCTCAGCTGCGTGTTACTGTCGTCTTGGCTATGAGAAGCAGGGCAACGAGCCATGCGAGCCGTGCACAGCAGGGTCAGTTGGAGTGCGTACGGGTGGCAGTGACGGCAGTCGCGACACGTGGATTTGCCAGGACTGTTTGCCGGGCTTGGACTGCTCCGTCCCTATCAACTACAATGCGAGTGTGCTGCTGGGCTTCTTCCAGCTCACTGTCCAGCTGCAGTCGACTGGCTCATCCGATAACGCTCCTCGACATGTGACGACGTGAGAATGGAAGGCAGGCATTGAGCAGGCAGATGATGGATATGGTCCCTCTCAGATATGGCGCTGGGTTGACTGTGCTACCGGTGGTCTTTCCGTGCCCACTGCCGTCGTCGTGCAAAGGCACCGACAAGAGCAATGGACTCAACATATGCTCGGTAGGAGCCATTTCATAGGTCTGTCATTCCCCTTCTGATGTCCGCCTGCCATGCCTATGTCAGGCTGGACATGAAGGTTTAACATGCAACCGGTGCAAAGAAGGTTTCTCGCGCCAAACGCTCCGGCAGCTGTGCACCCGATGTGCGCCGCTTTGGCTGATCGTGATTGTCAATGTACTGCTCGTCTTCGCCGCTTTGATAGCCATCTTCATACTCACCGCACTCGCCGGAAGGTCATTTTCTCACACCAATCGACATCCGAGCTTTCTGTGTGTGTGTCTGTGTTCAGGGCTGCGTCGTCTGTCCGCGCTGAGGTGCCCTCGCAGCTGATCAAAATCGGCCTCTCGCACATCACCGCTGTACGGAACTGCAGACAGAGACACTCACGTTGTCTCCATGACCTGTTCGCTGTCATTTTGTGTGCAGGTGTGTGGTTTGACCTTTCTCGTGTTTGACGAGTCACTCTGGGGCGACCAGATATCCTCGCTGGTTGGCAGCTTCTTCGCCTGGGATGGTGGCGTCGCGCAAAGCTACCAGATATGGGAATGTCTACTGAAGCCATATGTGGGCGACAAATGCGTGCTGTACCGACATGCAATCTGGCTTGCGCTGCCACTCGTTTGGCTCACCGTTGTTCCCCTTATTGGTACTAACGACAAGCAAAAATAAATAATATGAAAAGCGATGATTTGCTTGTCGTTTCTCGCCCGTGTCATGGATGGCTGCAGCGACCTGCTTTGACCGAGTCCGTGATGCCTTCAGGTCGAGACGGCGCATTGACACCGACGAATCGACCTCATTCTCCACCAACGCCTACCTCCGAGCTCTCTCAGCGCCCCCATCTGTGACCAATGGCAACGCAGACACGGCTGCTGCACACGTCCCTCACCAGCGATCGGTCACCTTCCAAGAGGACTCACGAATCGAGCCATCGAGTCAGCTTTCCCTAGCGGGGCCCCGCAAGAGCGGTCGCTGGTGGCAGTGGCTCGACAACCGGGGCGCCATGATGGTCGTCGTCCTCACATTTGTCCATCCCACCGTGACCAGGAACATGCTGGCTCTGTTGCGCTGTCGATGGTATCCCTATGTGGACGATGTCATATCTATCCCGCCGGGCGAGAGTGTCAGTTTGCTGCCGACTGACCCGATGGATGACATGCGCCCTAGGATGGACCTCGACTCACGTGTCATCTGCCGATCGGCCGAGCATGCCCCATTCCTGTGGATTGCCGTGGCTGGTCTGCTGATGTGGACGTTCGCCCCCGTGCTGTGTGGGGTGGCGTTTCTGTGGCAGCATAGAGAGCGCCTGCAGGACCACCACATGCGTAGAAGGGTTGGATTTCTCTATGTTGGCTATCGGAAGAACCTGTTCTATTGGGATTTTGTGCTGGCCATGAGGCGTGTATTGGTGCTGCTGATCGCACAGCAAGCGACGGCGCAGCCTCGCCAGCAGCTGCTGGGCTGGACTGTGGTCGCCGCTGTGTGTCTAGCGCTGCAACTCAGCGTGTGGCCCTTCGATCGAGGCAGCATGGACATCCTCAATCGGTCTGAGATGCGTGGGCTGCTGGTCTGGCTCGTGTCGCTGTTCGTCATGCACTTTGTGGTCATGCTGCCCGAGGGGACCTCTTCGGTGCTGACACTCGGCCTCGTGCTGGTTGTCATAGTGACCAATCTTGTGCACTATATCATGCTGACCATGCAGATTTGCCGATATGGCCTGCTGCAAGTGGGCTACAGATACATGGCAGTCACCGACCGCAATAAGGCTTTTGGTAGGCAACAGCAGGCCATTCTCGCTTCCATGGTGTGTTGTGTCCTTTCGTTTCTGTCCAGACCGTGCGGTGTCGTGGCTTATCCACAGAGAGAAGAAAAGAAAGAAAAGACGGCGGATCGCACCCAAGGTCTTCTATGACTGGTCCAGCGCGGCCCTCTCTGCTGACGACCCCCCCGCTGCATCAGTGGGGTGCCATCCGTCTGTCGGGCGACCGGTGCATCGTGTGTCGGTGGCCATGCAGCTGACGTCAGCTGCCGTGCAGGAGGCTATCGAAACACTTAAAAGTCACTCATGTTCCCAGCGACTTGTAAGCACATGGGTAATGAGCTTCTCGCCGATGCTTCCGGCTCTCTCTGTTGTGTATGTATGTGTGTGTTTGATGGCTGGTTCAGCCATGAGTTTCTGTGGAGCCATGCGTTCCTGGCGCAGAGCCTGCGGCAGAAGCCTGTGAAGGCGCGAAGCCGACGACAAGACCACGTGGTCGTTCACCTGCCGAGACCCGACGACCGCACAGTCACCGTGAGTCAAAGGACAGAGGACCCCTCGTGTGTATGATCGACCTGCGTGTGTTTCCAGGGTTTGCGGCACATGCGGACTCGCGACCTCTCCCACGCATTCCGCTTCCAATGCTCTGAGAAATGTCAGCTTTCGGCTTTTGAGGCCGACAAGGCATCCTCTGATAGACCAGGTGGCCCGTCGGTCATCGAGACACAGCCGGCAGACAGGTCCGAACCACACACATGAATGGCCACTGAGACTGCTCTCTCATGTCCCCTCTCTGTGTGTTGTTAGTGCTGTTGCCTCGGTGACGTCGCCGGGCATCACGTTATACGACCTTCAGGCCAACGTGTATTATGTGGTGGACGAACTCGTCAGCAGAGAGCAGATGCACCAGACGGAACTAAGGAGGAGGGCCGACGGCTGTGACCTGGAAAAGGTCGACAGTGAGGCATCGACACACCAGCAAGGCGCCGGCGGCTGGCGGGGGCTCTATGAGGCGTTCCGCAAGGCCAAACGAGCACTCATCGAGAACGGCAGCCCACCGGTCAGTCAGAGAGATAGTATGCCCGGATGTGTCTGTGAGTGTGGCATATTCTGCCTGCAGGGTGCCATCCCGGAGCTCCTGGTGAGCCTCGCGCCCACCTTGGTGGAGACGCCATGCGGTGATGTAGACGTGCCCATCAGCGACGCACCGTCGCCCGTCAGCTCGACCCAATCGAGGCGGAGCAGCTCCCACACCGCCGCCTTCACGCCCCCATGTCATCATCTCATGCGAGTCGATTGGCATCGGCTGAGCAGTGACGAGAAGGACAGCGTTGCTACGTGGATGATGCCATAAGTAGCGGCCATGGCTGCCAGCACTCATGATGACAGCAGATAGCACAGCAGCTGACTCGCTGTGCTTGTCGGTGTCCACTGACACACCGAAGTGAGAGGTGAATGTCGGCCAAGGGCGACATGACGGCAGGTCACTCACTCGATGCACTGTGAGCGGCCCTGTCTGATTTTTCCTCTTTTTCGCTGGTGGTACGCGTCTGTGTGTGTCTTCCCGGCTTTGTTCGTGCGCGAGAGGAGTGCGCGTTGTGTGTTTTGTCCACGCCGTGTGCTGTCCGTGAGTGCGCGATAGGCGTCATAGCCCTCGGTCTCGTTGTCGACGCAGATTCTGTGCGCAGAGAGCAGAGAATGCATTGAGTGGTGTACGTGCGAACGAAGCGGAGGCCTTTTTCGCCCTCCAACCCGTCGTACTGATTGAGTGTGTGCGTTGTGTCGCTGTATCTGTAGCGAGTTCATCTTGTGGCCCTCTCTGTGTGTGGTGTGTGTGGTGTGTGGTGTTTGTATGTGAGTGTTTGTATGTGTGTGTGGCAAAAAGCCAGCTCTCTGTAGGTCAATCGTTGTCTTATGGGAAGAGAGAGAAACGCTGCATTCGTGTCCATTTATGCAGTTAGGTAGGTACGATGTCCGGGACGTAGGAAGTGCATGAGGATATGACAACGACAAGACATGGGAAATGAACGCATCACAAGACAGAAAAAATATAAACCCACGAAATGACCGCACCGACTCCCTTTCTCTACCCACGACGCCGAATCGACACACATCTACACGACATACGACGTTCCATATGCCCGCCTAGATTCACACTACTCACTCGACGGCCCTCATCAATTCACGCCACGGTTGCGATGGATATGGGTACGTGCATTCCGCCAACAAAAAGGGCTTGCCTGCCCGTCCGCCTGCCCATCAGCCAACCTGTCTACGCCGGCTGCTGCGTCCTCCTCATGGCATCTGCGTTCCTCTTGGTCAGGTCGATATCCTTGTACACACGCGACCAGTGCTGCACACACACAGAGAATACACACAGGTCTCTCGATTGGTCTCTGTGTGTTTGTTTGTGTGTGAATGGATGGTTTTTGTGCTCACGTCGAAGTCTCTGTCGTGTGTCCTGGACAAGCAGATGGGGTCCGGGCTGCCCTGCTCAACAAAGCCGGCAGCCGCGCTGCGCTTGGCGTACTGCTCATAGAGTTGCTCCTGATCACACACATAGACATGCACACGGGGTCTGCATTTATGGAGTGTCACTGACGGGTGACTGATGCCGTGGGGATCAGGCTTGCCTGGTAGGAGCCGTGTTGCCTCCGGTAAGCCTGCGATCGCCCCCATTGGATGAGATTGAACCGCTCACCCTTGTACAGCTCGTTGGCACCTGCATGACGACCATACACGCACACACACATACACACACATGCAACGCAGACAGGTAGATGGCTTCCTGTGTCGCTAACGTACCATGTCTGTGTGCGCCCAGGTGCATGACCGCCTCGCCCTTGCTGAACACGTAGGTGGTGGCCTCCTTGCGGGACCTGGGCTCGAAGAACCGGCCGCAGAAGGTGAGGGTGGACCCTACAAACGACCCGCCCAAGTGGACATTGAGCGTGATGTCGCTGGCGTCCGTGTGCATCTGTTTGGTTGACATGCACACAGACATGTTGAGTTGTGCATGCCGCTCCTCTGTCTCCCTCCCTGTTTGTTGACTCACATCGAGGTTTCGGTCGTTGTGTTCTTCATAGTGTACGATGGATGTGTGGTGTCTGTCGAGAGAGGGGCCGCCGTGGCCGGGGAAGAGCAGGGCCGCCAGCGGCCGCCACCACTGCAGCAAGTCGTCCATCCTCTCCTCCAACCCGATGTCGTTGAGCACAAGCCCATACTTGTTCATCCTGCAAGGAGAGGAGAAGAATGACAAGAAAGACTGTGCCTGGTTCTCTGCATGCCTGTCGGTGGTGCTGTCCGTGTGTGTGTGTGTGTGTGTGGTTACGAGTTGGGTCGGCGCTTTGGGAACGTCTGCTCGGGCAACGCATTGTATTCCTTGATCACCTGTAAGACACACACACACGAGAGAGGGGTCGACAAGCCACACAAACAGGGGTATCATGTGCTGACCGACCTTGACGAGTGCGTCACACAAGCTGCTCGAGAACATCTGGAAAGCAAAGACCCCTCGAGCGATCTCAGTGACCGCAAACGCCCCAGGAGGTGCTGGCGGGTCACCAGGCTGCCGCACGTGCATCTTCGCCGTGCCCTCAAGAAACGCCCGATAGCCGTCCGCCAACCACTCGACAGGCCACGCAGCGAAGACCTCCGGCTGCTGCGTGACCCTGCTGTACTCCTGGCCGACCCGCGTCCGCTCCTGATGCATGCGGCCGTTGTTCTCGTACTCCAGGCGCATGCTGCGATTGATGTGGTCCCGCAGCCTTGTGAGGTGGCTGGCTTGGTCCTCTTTGGACAGCGAGTTGAGATGCTGTAGCGAGAAGGGCACCATGTCACACTGGTGGGTGCAGCGCCGCCAGTGGCTCGCCCAGAAGGTCTTCAACTGCTCATCTGTCGAGGAACCAACCAACACACAAGTGGGGGAGGACACATATGCCCGTGCTTCCCTGCCGCCTCCCCCTCCGTCTGCTCACCTGTCCACGGCACGGCAGCGACGTCCCAGAGCGAGTCGAGTGCCGCCATGCAGCCAAACAGCGGCCCCTTGGGGTGTGTCTTGATGAGGGCTGTGACCCCTGCCAGCTCGTAAGTCGTGTCGTCGATGTCAGGATGGTGCAGGATGGACCGCGCCGACAAGAGGGGTGGCAGCTCCGGATAATGCAGGGGGAACTCTGCTTCAAAGCGCAGAGGGGCGCCGGCATACAGAGAGCCTCGCGGAGCAGTCACCGTCAACTCAGCTGCACACAAGCGGAAGTGAAGAATACCACGGAAGACGTTAATCCGGGGCGGCCATCGTTCTTCTGTCCGCCTTGCCTCTCACCAGCATATTTCTCCACTCCAGACGCGTCAGCGCCCTTCTTGCCTTCCAGGTTGGCATTGGCAAGCAGCGAAGGCAGTGTGTTCAGAAGGGAGGCGTCCTTGAAGCTCTCCACTCGCGTGGCGATGCCTGAGTCGGTGTTCTGCTGCACCTCCTGCAGATGCTGAAGGATCAAGCTGCCCTTTGGATGCTGCCAGAGGCCAGATAACGACGACATCCGGCGAAACGTCGAGATGTACGTTCTTGGAGGCTCAATGAGCCGCAGCAATCGAACACTGGAAGCCAGCTCTCTACGCCTGGCGAGCTAAGCACACAGATCTCCAAGCTCGCAAACGTGTGTGAAAGTCACCACAAAAGACGAGCCAGAAGCAGCGTTCAGACGGCGAGCACCTTGTTCCATCGTTGTTTTGCCTAGATCCCCCTTGCATATACGATGGGCAACTACCACTTCGGGTGCGGCCACAGCGCGACTCCTGTGGTGTACATGAAGCCGGTGTCCGACGCGTCTGACGAGAAAAGCTCTGAGGTGTACCGGTCGCCCTACTGTCCCGACGGGCGGCTGGTGGACTCGATGGGCGACGGCATCCGCAACTGCCACGACCTGTTTCTGCACGGCTTGGAGGTGGCCAAGGACAGCCCCTGCCTGGGCACGCTCAAGGACGGCAAGTACGCCTGGCGCACTTACGGCGAGGTCTACCAGGTGGCGCTCGAGGTCGGCTCGGGCCTCCTCAACATGGACGCGGTGCCGATGCGGGAGTTCCCCGAGGAGGTCTACCAGCAGCAGTTCCGCTTCCTCGGACTCTACAGCAAGAACAGGGAGGAGTGGGCCATCGCCGAGCAGGCCTGCAACGCATTCAGCTTCACCATCGTGCCCCTCTACGACACTCTCGGCCCCGAGACCGTCCAGTACGTCTGCGACCAGACCAGGTTGCGCACCGTCATCACGCAGGTCGAGAACGTCCCCAGCCTCATCAAGGCGGCCCCCAACTGCCCGGAGCTCAAGATCATCGTGGCCATGGACGAGCCGACCGACGAGATGAAGGCCGACGCGCAGAAGGCCGGCGTGACGCTGACGACATGGCAGGAGCTCATCCGTGTGGGCAAGGGGCAGCTGCAGCCGACCAACCCGCCCAAGGCCGACAGCGTCAACACCATCTGCTACACCTCGGGCACGACGGGCCTCCCCAAGGGCGTCATCGTCACCCACCGGCAGTTCGTGTCCACCTCCGCGGCCGCCCTGCTGCAGCTCGAGACGGTCGGGGGGGTGACCTTCGGCCCCGAGGACGTGTACTTGAGCTACCTGCCGTTCGCCCACATCTTCGAGCGCATCATGTTCAACGCCCTGCTCTTCTGCGGCGGGCAGCTGGGCTTCTACCGCGGCGACACCCACAAGCTCATGGAGGACGTGCAGCTCCTCAAGCCCACCCTCTTCGCCAGCGTCCCTCGGCTGTACTCGCGCATCTTCGACAAGATCCAGGCCAAGATCAGCAGCAGCGGCGCCGTGGGCAAGGTCCTCTTCTCCACGGCCATGAACGCCAAGCTCGCCAACCTCCGCAACAACGGCGTCGTCAAACACGCCATGTGGGACTCGATCATCTTCAACAAGATCAACCGCCTCCTCGGCGGCCGCGTGCGCGTCATGGTCACCGGCTCGGCCCCCATATCGCCCCAGGTGCACGAGTTCCTCAAGTGCGCCTTCAGCGCCCCCATCTGCGAGGGATACGGCATGACCGAGACGTGCGCGGCGTCGACCCTGAGCCACCCGGGCGACACGACGGTCGGGCACATCGGCGGGTGCTTCCCGTGCATCGAGGCCAAGCTGGTGTCGCAGCCCGAGATGGACTACACCATCAACGACAAGCTGCCCGACGGCACCAAGTGCCCCAGGGGGGAGCTCTGCCTGCGGGGGCCGTCCGTCTTCCCTGGTCAGTGCACTGCAGTGAGGCCACCTGCCTTGACACACACACACACACACACACAGACACAGGCACAGGCACAGACAGAGGGAGGGATGCTGGATGTGGCCATGTTGATGTGCGTGGGTGTGTGTGTTCCTCAGGTTACTTCAGGCAGCCTGACAAGACGTCCGAGACGATCGACGGCGAGGGTTGGCTGCACACCGGCGACATCGCTCAGATCCTCCCCAACGGCGCCATCCGGATCGTCGACCGCAAGAAGAACATCTTCAAGCTCGCCCAGGGCGAGTACGTCTCGCCGGAGAAAGTCGAGAACGTCTACTCGCAGGTACCACATATCCACCACCTGGGCAGACAGACACAGCAAGCACAGCAACACAAGAGTCCTCTCTCTCTCTCTCTCTGTCTCTGCGTGTGTGTCAGTGTGGTCTGATAGCTCAGTCGTTTGTGCACGGCAGCTCGACCCAGACGTACTGCGTGGGCATCATCCACCCGGACCACGACGAGGCCAAGAAGTGGGCCAAGGCCAACAACAAGCCCGAGGCCCTCAGCAGCCTCTGCAGCGACGCCGAGTTCATCAAGGCCGTCGAGGAGCAGATGGCAGAGGTCGCCAAGAAGAACGGCCTCTCCGGCATCGAGAAGGTCAAGAAGTTCAGGCTCTCGCCCGAGGCTTTCACCGTCGACAACGACCTCGTCACGCCCACGTACAAGCTCAAGCGCCACCAGGCACACAAGCACTTCAAGGCGCAGATCGACGAAATGTACGGCGAGAAGTGAGGGAGGGAGTGGGAAGGGCAGGCCATGTGAGAAGGGGCGTTGACAGGCACATACAGGTGGCGCGTGGGGCAGCAGCACCGAAGAGGGTGTGAGGGGACTGGTGTAGGGGAGTGAGGGTTTTTGAATGTGTTTCTGTTCGCTCCCTCCCTCCCTCACGCTTGTCTGTCTGCCTGCCTGGCTGCCTTGACCTGCTCCCTCTCATCCTGTCGTGTGTCGTATGTCGTGTGTCGTGTGTCGTTGTGGATTTCTGAATTGGCCATCAGGGCGTTTTGGGAGGCGGTTGATCTGCCCATACACACACAAACCACACACACGTACCGAATGACCAAGGGGGAGGGGGAGGGGAGGGAGAGGGGAGGTCGCGTCACGATTTTTCGTATGCGTGTGGGTGTGTGGGTGTGAGTGAGGGTCGTGTCGTCGTATCCTTCCACCCACCCCGGCCGCTGGGTGCGTTTTCTTGCTTCAAGATAGATGAGATTGTGACCGTAGATGCGACAGAGACAGACGCGCGTAGGTAGTCGCGTCACATCACATCACATCCCATCACGTCAGATCCGTGGCCCTCTTTTTCCTTCCTTTTGTGGCTCTTTCGTGGGCCATCTTGATGCCTGTCTGCCTGCCTGCCCCCCCGGAGGGGCGCACAGATGCGTGCCGTGTTTATTGGCGTGGTTTTTATAGACCGATGAGGCGCTGAGGCCTCCCCGCCAGCCATTTTGACGTGAGTGAGCGAGCCCTGCCTGGCTGTTCGGCTGATTGACCGCATGACTGACTGACTGACTGACTGCAGTGAATGGATGGATGGATGGAGAAGAGAGAGAGAGAGCACTGTATGGGCGCAGACTCGCGCCTCATGGACTCCGAGTTTGGTCAATGAGGTCCACCAATTCAGTCCAACCGCTCGATTTGGCCATTGCAGCGTCGCATAAGAGGATTGCTGGTTCGATGTGCATGGCCATGACCACACCCACCCCACTTGTCTGTCTCTGTCCATCCACACTAGGTGTCCCCCATTACAGCCAACACGAGCACACGCACGCGCGCACACGGTGACACACGTGTTCCATCCATCCATCCGTCATGAAGTCAGTGACTGAGTGAGTGGCAAGACATGCACCTGCTTGGAGTTAGAAGAGTAGAAGAAGAACAAGTAGTAGATAATAGGACTATCAACACGCTTTGGCCAACAGTCAGTGGCACAAAATCACCAATGGCATCCATCCATCCATCCATCCATGAAGCGATCTGTCTGTCAGTGCTATCCCACGTTTGTATGTGCCAACACACCGATGGCAGCAGAGAGAGAAACCGCCACGATGCCCACCAGCCCGCCTTATCAAACAACCACCTCACCTCCCATTGATCCACGCACTTTTCGGCCATTTCAGCTCGCTCTCCCCGATCGCCGCGGGTGCTCCCTGAAACCGCTGCTGCCCATCGCCCCCACCCCGGATGCACCCACATGACATCGACTAACTGTACACCTGACAAAGACGCTGCTGGCTGGCTGGCTGGCTGACCATCATGAACACCACCCCCACCCCATCCCTCTGCACAAACAAGCATGCGATCACGTGTGTGTGTAGGTGTGCAGACGAAAACGGCTCCAACAGGCAGCGAAAGGCTTCCTTGCCCTTCACACGCACATCCCACCATAGATAGCCAATTACCAAATCACGCGCACAGGCAAGTAAGCCACCAAGTCAGCAAGCGATTCATGAATCAATCAACAAACAAACAAGCGTGCAGACAAGCACGGTCACAAATCGCATCGCATCACAACACGAGACGAGAAGAGACAGACGGGACGACATGAAAAGGCAAAGACTTTCCCTCTTCTCTACCCCGTTCACTCACATCAGAGGTCGTGAGGTGAGAAGGACACAGTGGGCAGTGCTGCCCTGCAGATGGGGCAGCTCCAGTGCTCCCTCTCTATCCACTCCTTCAGGCACCCCTCGTGGAACACATGCCCGCACACACTCGTCTTGGCGCACACCTCGCCCTTCAGGTCCAGCATGCACACCACACACACCTCGCTACCCTCACTCGACCGACCCGTGCTCTCGCGAGAATCACGCCGCCTCTCTCTCCGCCCCTGCGTGTTCCGCCGAAACGATGGCACAGGGACGAGCGACGTTGACACGGGGGTGGGTGGACACGACGGGCATGACGCAGGGGAGGGATCGCCAGCTGACCGACACGACGCCGCCCCCTCCCCGCCCTCTCCACAACCGCCATAGGTGAAGACCTCCAGCTTGACGTAAGTCAGCATTTCCCGGGCCTTCTGCTTCTCAGTGCGGGGCGACTGCCTGGCCGCCACAGCGGGGAGGGGGAGGGACGGGGGGAGGGGGTCGACGGCGGCGCGAGAAGCAGAAGCAGTTGCTGTGGGGCGGTCGGTGCTCCTCCTGCTGCTGACGGCGTTCTGGGGAGTGGGGTGGTTGGCGTTCCGCTCTCTCCTTCGGGAGCGGCCAGCTTCTGCACCGTCGCATGATCCGATGCAGCCCATCTTGCGGCTCAGCAGGTGGCACAGGTACAGCACCAGGGGGCACAGAACCGTGCACAAAAGGACCACTGGCGGACTCAGAGCGACCTGAACGGGGGAAAAGAAGAACAGGAGAGACCACGTTGGCGACCAATCTTGCCAGATGTGTGTGGCTGGTTCGTGCGGACAGAGATACCTACCTGCATCAGCGAGTCATAAGGGCCCTCGTCCAGATCTGAAGGCGGCTGTTGGTTGTGTGCCTGGGAGGTGTCACCGACGAGAGAGCCTCGGGCCGTTGGCAACGCTGATGAGGACATCTCACTTGCTCTCCAGAAATGCTTTCTATTGCAATACGCAACGGACACAGAGAGCTGAGCTCAACGGCCATTTCGCAAAAATCTCGCGCAAGCTTAGCCTCGAGAGGGGTGAAAGACCTTAGTGTGTGCGCTGCAGGGGAGGGCAGAGGTTCAGTGGTGAGGAGGCCTGCCTTCATCTGTCTGTCTACAATGGGCGGCGCCTTGTCCGCCGAGGAGGAGGCACAACTCAAAACTTCGAGGCTGCCGTTCGCTGTGTCCCAGATAGGCGACTTCCGGCCGGAGGACTGCCCCTTCTGCGCGGTGCGCTGCTGACCACCAGATAAAGAAAAGCAGCGGGCAAAAGTTGGCGTTGCGTGTCTTTGTGAATCGTTGCAGACTCGTGTGAGGGATATGGAGTATATGGACAGCGAAAGGTAAGTGGCTGGCTGGCTGCCTGGCACGCACAGACAGACAGAAGCAGGTCTCGGCCGTTCAATGCGTCCCTGCTTTTTGTTTGATTGCAGAGGGCGGCTGAAGGACGAGTTAGACGTGTTGGTCGGCTCAGTGCCCAAGTGAGCAAGAAAGATACATACGCACACACACATGGATTGACACATCCCGTTTGGTTCAGGGACGCCCGGGCAGCTCTGCAGCGGTATATGGAGGTGTCGTCGCGCCGCACGACATCGAGCGCCGAGGCCCTGCAGTGGGAGACCGGCGGGGCGGGATCGGCCAGGGGATGTGTGGCGTGCAGCACCACCGAGGCACGCCTCAAGGAGGCCGCACAGGTGAGCCACGAGAAAGGGAGAAGGGGCACCGTGTGGGTGGGTGTTCTGATGGACCCACCCTCTGTCTGTTTCGGCCGTGCACCCGGCCTTCACTCCCTCTTTCAGGTGATCGGCGGATTGTCTGCCCGTGTGGCCACGCTGATCCGCTTCCACGCGGCGTACGCCCTCAACATCGAATCGGCCATGGTGAGACGAAACACTGAATGCACTCAATGCATTACATGTGCCATGCCTCATCGATCTCACCCTACCAGGTCAGAGAGCGTGACCCTCGTTCCCTGAGGTCATCCCACGCCGCCGCGACCCGGCTCTCCCTCGTCTGTGGCATGTGCCTCGCCAACACGGCGGCAGCCGACATCGGCATCATGGCCATCTCACCCTCGCAACGCAGCATCACCAACGGGCAGGAGTTCGATGAAGACGACGCCAGCGCACCCTCCCGCGCAACCTCCCTGCCCCATGACGCGCTCTCTCGTGTGGTGGACGGTGGCGAGGGCGACAGCAACGGCCATTGCCGTGGCAACATGCTGGCAGTCGGGTCGGCGCAGGAGGTCGATGCGGGGTCGCTGGCCACTAGTGGGGTGTCGTTCATCGAGATGTCGCCTGCGAACGGGCCGGAGAGGCCTCTGGTGCGGGGTCGTGGCGGTGATGGTGGGTATTACTCGAGAGGGGACTGGTCGCACCACAGCACGCCACTCTGTGGCGCGGCAGATGGAGAGGTCGACATGGGTAAGTCAGAGAAGGAGTGAGGTGACCCCACGAGAAACAACTGTAGATGGCAGATGTGTCGCATCGCTCGATCCTTTTGTATGCAGGTGCCTATCGAATGCTGCCGACAGCAGTGGCGGCCCACTCCCAGCAGCACCCATACCAGCTCTCTCTCCCACACGAACTGGACGGCGATGGCGACCAAGAGGCGGTAAGGCAGCAAACCGACGGCAAAGACCAAGACGGAGATGAGGATGAGTTCGTGCCGTCCCCAGCGGTCCCCCGGCCGCGGACCGATGGCCCTCCTGATCTGTCGCTGCCCGACCGAATGCCGTCACTTCCATCGGGGTTGGTCAGTGGCAATAATGGCACGGCTCAGTCCCAGGGAGAGAGCAGGAGAGGTGCCAGCTGCGGCAGCGGGGCCGAATTAACGAGCGAGTGCGGCACTTTTGTGTCGGCGATGGAGCGGATTGATCCATGAAAGAATGGCATGATGGAACGTGTGGACGCGTCCATGAGGGGGGAGAGGAGATAAGAGGGGTGGGCGAGAGGAGTGTGTGAGTGAGTGAGTGAGTGTCGGTCGTTGCCTATCAATCAATTATGTTCATCGATCGATCTTGTTTGCCTTTGCATGACTGCATAGAGGTGGCATCGACAGATACATAGTGGGTTGCTTTATACACTTGTCGCTTTGATTGAGTCAATGAGTGAATCGGCGGGCTAGTCGGGAATGGCGGAATGAGCCATTTTTGCGGGGGAGAGAGAGAGAGAGAGAGAGAGAGAAGGCGGCCTGACCCCCGACCATCGCGTCTGTCTGCCTGTCTGTCGGTTGACGCAGGTCAGGGTGTGGCGTGTATTGTGTGCTGTGTGTGCAGTGATATATACTTTATGCCTGCGTACAACTAGTCCCTCGTGAGTCAGCTCGTCCTAGTTTTGTCGGATCGACCTGTCAGCAGAGAGAGACGCACCTAACCGACACAGATGGGTGTCATAGCTGTGCAGTGCCTGCACACGCATTCACATACACACACACAGCAGATCGTCGAGCGACGGTGTCACTGTCTGCCCGCTCTTTTAGCCACCAACCAGCCCATGGTACCCAGCTGCCTACCCACCTGTTTGTTTGCACATGGATGGGATCGAGTGTTTGTCGGGTTCGTCATTTCGGCTGCTTCATTCTGGATGCCTTGCTGTACTTTGTAAAGGTTTGTAAAGGATAGCTTACCTGATGGATGTACAGCCATGGCCAACCAAACAACACAGATACCTACATGCTGGGCGGGCAAGAGGGGGCCAACGATGCCATGCACGCCAACTCACTACCTGATATATCACTGTATGTGTGTGTGTGCCGTGACTTTCTTGCCTCTGTGTGTGTGTGTGTAGGTGTAACTGAGTGAGTGAGTGCGTGAGTGGTGTTGCATCAATCAACATGGGAGTAGGGAGAGAGGACACACACACTGCATGACATGGCACGCCT